CCAGCAATGCTACACCTCCCCAAGCCTCTCCAAATAGAGCCACCAGATGGGGACCAAGGATTCAAATTCGAGAGACTGGGGAACAGTCATTCAGACTAGCACACTGGGCTGCTTGAGACTGTCTCAGAGAATGAACAAAAGAAAAAGCCTCCTTTTGTACTGATTTATAGTCATTTAGCCTTTGTTAGTTTATACGAATACACTCTTTTTCCTGACGGGCTTGTGGTTACTGGTTTTGGAAGTAAAGATTTTTATTTTTTGTAGGATTGCTTTAGACTTTTTGGATGTAAGAGCCTTTTGTTCAAACATTCCTCACTTAAAAGGAAAATCTGCTATGAAAAAGCGACATTTGGAAATTTTGGGCTATCGTGTTATTCAGGTATGAAACAGTCATGTAATTCAGCCTCTAAAAGGGCATGGTGGGATGGGTAGGGCCAGGCGCGTCTATGATCCCAGTGCTGTGTGGGCAGAGATAGGTGGATTGCTGGAGCTTGCTCTACCAGCCTAGCTGCTGTCCCCTGAGAGACCTTGTCTCAAGGGAATAAGGCATAGAGTGATAGAGCAGGACACTGTTTGCTCTCCTGGCACACATGGGCATGTGTACCTGCATGCATGTTCATAACACATACCACACACACACACACACACATACACACACACACACATGCGCGCGCGCGCGCGCACACACACACACAGAGGTTCTTAAGTCATGGTGTACAGGCCTGTAATCCCAGAACTTAGAAGTCTGAGGCAGAAGAATCTCAAGTTTGAGGCTAGCCTGTGCTACATTGCAAGTTTAAGGCTAGGCTTGATTCCATAGTGAGAACTTGTCTCAAACAAATGAAGAGCTGGCAGTAGTGGCTCATGCTTTCAATTCTAGCACACACACACACACACACACACACACACATACACACACACACACACACACACACACACACACACACACACACACACGAAGCAGAGGCAGGGGGGTGAGGAGCCTGGTCTATATATTACATTATAGGCCAGCCAGGGATACACCATCTGACATTGTCTCAAAAAAAAAAAGTAATTTTACTGATTCGCATATTTATTTTTTGCATGCTAGACATTATGGACAGGGTTTTAAAAGGAAAAGGCTAGTGTGCCACACCTAGAATATGTAGGGAAAATGCCTGTTGTTGATGTTGTGGGAATGGGAATGGAGGGAGCTGTGAGGCAGAACATGTTTTCTAGACAGCGGCAGGAGGAAAGCTCCACGTGGCTCCATGAGTTCAGAGGCCGTGCTCCAGGCTCTCCTCCGGAGGCTCCTGCAGCCTTGCCGGTTCAGAGGCTATGCTCCAGGCTCTCCTCCAGAGGCTCCTGCAGCCTTGCCGGTAAAGCTCGCAAATCTGTCCTCTGTTTACATAGGTTTTTAAAGATTTACTGCAAAAACTCTGTGTGTGTGTGTGTGTGTGTGTGTGTGTGATTGTGAGTACGTGCAGATGAGTGCAGGAGTTGAATCCCTCAGGAACTGGAGTTACAGGTGCTTGTGAGCTTCCTGACATGGGTGCTGGGAATCGAACTTGGATTCTCTGAGAGAGCAGTATGGGATCTTAACTGCTGAGTTATCTCTCCAGCCCATGTATATATTATTGAACATTATATAAAATCTCATTGATTTCAAATAAACGTGCAATATAAAAATAAACTTTTTTTGTTTGTTTTTTTTTTCGAGAAAGTTTTCTCTGTGTAGTTTTGGAGCCTGTCCTGGATCTCGCTCTGTAGACCAGGCTGGTCTCGAACTCACAGAGATCCGCCTGGCTCTGCCTCCCGAGTGCTGGGATTAAAGGCGTGCGCCACCACCGCCCGGCGAAGAAAAGCATTTTTAAGTGAATTGAAACAGGAATTTTTCAGCCTTTATTATAAGATGGCTTAAAATGTTACAGAAGTAGTTTCATTATTGTTTGGGGAGGGACTCACAATTCTATAAACAGGCTACCCTTCCTAGCATTAAAGCATGACAACCTAAGAAATGGCATAAGCATGTTTACTCCATGCTTAGATCCCCCCCCCCCCCCGCAGCACATGCATGCGCATTTGCAAACATGTGCACAGCTTAGCAAATTAAGAGCCCAGTTGAAATGCTGGAAGCCTGCTGCCAGCAAAAGGAGTCTGATAAAGCTATGGTTTCTTTCTTCCCCTTTTAAATTTTTAAATTTATTTTAGTTTTTTAAAATGTATTTTTATTTTTTATGGCTGTGGGTGTTTTGCCTATCTATTTATATGTTTGTGCAGCATATGCATGCTTGGGGCCCAGGGAGGCAAGGTCAAGTACTGCTTATAATTAGCTGTGAGATTAAGGAGATGCTCATTCAGGCTGGTTGCGTGCTTTTTTGTTGTTTTGTTTTGTTTTAAATGCTACTTTATGTATATGGGTGCTTTGCCTGTATGCATGTCTGTATACACATGCCTGTCTGATGCCTTCAGAGGCCAGAAGAGGGCCCTGGATCGATCCCTGGAGCTGTAGTTACAGCTGTGAGCCACCCTGTGGGTGCAGGGAGTCAAACCCAGGTCCTCAGGAAGAGCAGCCAGTGATTTTAACCACGGAGCCATCTCTCTGTCTTTCCCTTTTTTTTTTTTTTTTTAAGTGGGAGAAACAGTGGGGTTGAGACATGGTCACATGCTGTAGTCATGCTGGTCTAGAAGTCACTATGGTTTTGCCCAGTCTGGCCTTGAACGTGTGGCACTCCTTCTGGTTCAGCTTCTGGTGTGCTGGTATCTCAGCTGTGAGCTGCCACACCTGGTTTCTTTCCTATTGGAGGGGTGGGGAGTTGGGGAGCTAATCAAATAACAGGCTTTTATTTATAACATTCCTGGAGGCTGAGAAGTCCCAGATCTAGGGCCTGTCAGAGGTGGTGTCTACGGAGAGCCTGTTTCTGTATCTAGTTGGTGCCTTCTGCCTGTGCCCACCTTAATTTTTTAGCACACACACACACACACACACAAATCAGCAACTACAAATACTGGGTGACAAGTCACATACACACTCTTGGCTCATAACCTTAGAGACCAATAAAATAATTTCTACATTTTAGCCGGGCGGTGGTGGCGCACGCCTTTAATCCCAGCACTCGGGAGGCAGAGCCAGGCGGATCTCTGTGAGTTCGAGGCCAGCCTGGACTACCAAGTGAGTCCCAGGAAAGGCGATAATAATTTCTACATTTTATAAATCTCTGAAAATCGTTTAGAAAGCTTGTATATCCCTTCATTAAAAAGAGCTGGCCCCGCCCCTCATGGGAGAGCTGGCCCAATGGCAGGGGTGTAGGGGAACTGGCTCCACCCCTCGCCTTAGGGGGCCAGCCCTGGTGCTGCTGACTGGCCAGCTCAGCTCTCACCCAGGCCCATATCCTGGGCCTTGCCTTGGCCCACCCTAACTTCTACCCCATCTATGACCTGGAGTGTATAAAGGGACCGGTCCTGCCATAGAATCTCCAAGACTGGGCAACAACAGGATATCTGAGAGGAGTTTTGGTGAGGATGCAGTGATGACGGTGTGCCAGAGGCCAGAGGCCTTGAACCAGCCCACCGACTCACTGCAGTGAACGTTGGTGGGCCGGGCTGATTGGACAAAAGGGTGTACCGTGTGACACACCACAGCTCCCATTGCCACTAGACAAATGAAGAGGGGTTGGAGAGGCGAGAAAGATGGAGGAGTGAGGTGGTTTTTTTGTTTGTTTTGTTTTTAATTAATTTGTGTGTGGGGGGGGGGTTCTTTTGTGGCAGATGCTGCAGGGTGAGGAGCAGATAGGGAGGGGCTGGGAGGTGAGCAGGATTGGGGTGCATGATTGAAATTCCCAAAGAATTAACAAGAAATTATGTTATAAAAATAATTTCTACATTTTTTTACAACATTTTATGTCTCTGAAGCTATCATTAGTAAGCTTATATATCCCCTCATTAAACCAATAGGGAGCTCCATCTAATGGTGGGGAAATCACATTAAAAACACTTGCCGTTGCTTTTATTCAAATGAATGACTTACTTTGCAGGTCCCTTACTTTGAATGGAACTCTATGGCACTGTCAACAAAGGATGCAAGGATGGACTACCTGAGAGAACGTATATTTGGAGCAGACAAATCATGACTTCATTTCAAATGACTGTAGCATACCACATTTGTGTTTCCTTAAGTGGCCTAACTCAATTAAAAAGTGCTAAGTGCAAATATTCTGAGTTGGGAACCTGCCTGACGTGTTTGGGAATAACAAGAGATCAGTTGCGGTCAGAGCAGATCAAACGGGAAGTGGGTTGGGAGTGTAGAGAAAGGTCAGAGCAAACAGTCAACAGTGTATGGCCGCATGGCTCCTCCAAAGGAGGGAAGCCATTGCAAAGTTTTAAGCAAGGAATGCTAAGAACATACATATTTTGTATTATTTAAGTATTTTATTTTTATTTTTTATCTTAAGTAGTCCTGACTGGTCTTAACCTTGTGGCCGTCCTCCTGCCTCTGCTTCTGGAGTGCTGTGATTACAGGTGTGTGCCATGATGTCCAGCTAAGAACTGTATTAATAAGTGAGTTCATCCAACACTCTGGAGGTGACATAGGAGGACCGCTGTGAGATTGAGGCCAGCTTGTGGTACATAGTGAGTTCCAGGACAGCCTAGGCAATAATGTGAGACAGTCTCAAAACACCCACTGCACCCCCCAAAAAAGAAAAAAAAATTCTTAATGCACAATTTTAAATTGTCCTCTTTTTTCCTTCATGCACAAATGTATTTTATTTTGATTAAATCCAAATCTCCCTTTCACTCCCCTCCCCTCCTTCCCGTGTCCCTCCTCCCCGTCCCCTCCCCACCTCCCCGTGTTCCTCTTCCCTGTCCATTCCCCTACCCCCCCACGTATCCCTCTTCCCCATCCACTCCTCTCCCACCCCCACTCCTACCCCTCCACCCTCCTCCCCTCCTCCCCGTGTCCCTCTTCCCCATCCACTCCCCCCCCATCCCTCTTCCCCGCCCACCCCCCTCCCCTCCGCCCCGTGTCCCTCTTCCCGTCCCTGTTCCAACTTCGAGTCCTTCCCCTTCTTTCTCTAAACGTTTGTATATGTAACCTAGTGAGTGCATTTAGGGTCGCTGCATGCACATGGGCAGAGGCCTGGCCCTGAAGAAAGCGGACTTGCTCCCCTGCAACTGCTGTGTCTTCTAAACTAGGAGTGGGCCTGGTGAGCCCCATTATCCATGCTTGAATGTTGACCAGCTTGATCTTGTGCGGCTTGTCTTGTGTGGGCAACAATAGCTGTTGGGAGTTCACGAGTGCAAGTGCCTGTTACTCCAGAAGACACTGTCTGGCTCTTACAGTTTTCCGCCCCTTCATCCCTGAGCCTTGGGTGAGAGGGTGTGACACAGACCCATTCCTTTCACCGAGATGGGGGTCTATGGGAAGAGAAGGTGGGGTGTGGGGCTGGTGTTGGGACAATCCTGAATTTGCTCAGATGTGTTGAGTTTAGGACACTTTATCAGCACCCAAGTGCAGATGACCTCTCAGTGAGTTTGGAGGTCAGAGAGGTCTAGGCTTCAGAAAGAAGTGTGAAGTCGTCATTGGAATTTGGCACCATGAGACTACATGAAATCACTTTAAGCTGCTATTGGAGAAGAGTGTGAATGGAGGGGAGATGTGGGACTGTCCCCTCAGGCACTCCAGCATGAAGAAACCAGAAAGAAGAGCCAGCAAAAGAGGCCTGTGAAAGTCCATCCATACACAGATGTGTGGTAGGACCCAGGCGGTGATCGGTTCGTGACTCACATTGTTGAATCTGAGGCTTACGGTAGACTGAGGAGTCTCTAGACACACACACACACACACACACACACACACACACACACACACACACACACACAAGAGTGAGTGTGGGGCCTTAGGACCCTGCAGATGGAGTCTCACTGTGTTTCCCAAGCCTCTGAAGAGGCTTTCAGACATGTCCACCACACCTGGCTCAGTTGCCTCTCCTGCTGTTGGGGATCTAGCAAATATGGAGCCCTTCTATGGCATATAAAGCTAAAAATGAACCAGTGATGACCTGCCCTTCCTCACATCATCTGCCCCAGAAGTTTAAAGGTCACCCCCCCATTACAGCTACTGTGCTTAATGTTGTGAAGGCTACGATTTATTGGCTTTTTAATGTAAGCATTTTATATTTGGGGCTGGAGAGATGGATCAGCAGGTAAACATGCTTGCCTCAAAAGCTAAGAACTAGAGTTCAAGTCCCTGGAACCCACAAAGAAAGACTGGCGTGTAGCGTGCGTGCCCCTACAGGAAGGCGGGATGCAGAAAGGAGTGTACCCAGAAACTTGCAGACAAGTCAGCTTGACGTCCGCAGTGGAACAGCAGCAAAGAGACCATGGCTCTAGTTTGGTGGGAAGTGAAGGCTGACACTTGAGCTTGCCCTCTGACCTTCACATGTGCACTGTGGCACGTGCAAGCACGCACACACTGCCTGCAGATACACACAAAAACATTACATTTTCATTTGGAAATAATATGCCAGGGTCACAAAAAGAAGAAAGGGACTGGAGAGATGGCTCAGCAGTCGAGAGCACTTCCTGTTCTTCCAGAGGACCTGGGATTGGTTCCCAGCACCCACATGGCAGCTCACAACCACCTCTAACTCCAGTCCCTGGGGATCCAAAGCCCTCTGGTCTCCTTGGGCACCAGACAGGCATGTGGTGGTGCACAGACGTACACCCAGGCAAAACACCCACACACATAAATAAAAAATTTAAAAGGGGTGGTGGGAGGCCATTTGGATTTGATTAGACGTTTTCCCCTTCAGATGAGACTCATTTATTATACTTCTTAAACAGCATTTCCAACCATCTTCATTATAATGCACAAGATTCCTATCATAGCTCAAAACATGAGAAAGGTTTCTGTTATTCAAACATTTCTTTAGAATGTAGACATATGCATTTCATAGATAATAGAAAACAAGTGTAAATGTACCTTAAGAATACAAAGGATGAGTAAACAGCTTAGATTTAGAAAGCTCACTTCTTTTGAGTAAAGTTTAACAAAAGTACATTGTTCAACTGAATACTAAAGTTCTTAGCAAATGGTTTTATACTTTATACTCAGCACTGGAAAAAGCCGTGACTGAGATTCTGCTACATAGAGACTCTACATGAATCATTGTACAGGCTTAAAGAAAGACAATAAATTATAGCCCTCTTGTTTTTGTGACCTTGTTTATAGTTTAGACAGTTTGAACAGATTTAAGCGTGTTGCTAGGCAACTAGCTCCGGAAGCGTAACGTATTTCCTTCAACATCCCAGCCCATTCTTTTTTATCATCTTCATACCTGATGGAAGAAAAAACAAAAAACAATAAGCATCCTTTAATGAGAGCCTTTTATGAGTTTCTTTGTGTTCAGTATAAAAATGGGGTGTCTGGGGGAATCCCCACTGCTTCCTGCCAGACAGGGTGCCTCGCCTGGTAGGTAACAGTTGAATTCCTTTCAAAGTATGCCCACTGTGAATGAGCATATACCTGGACCCTCCAAATAGACTTATGCTCCTGTGACCTCTGGGATGTATCTTGGTTTCCATTTGATATTTACTGTATCTGACACTATGGTAAAAGTGTTCCCTGCCCTTTAAAAAACATTCTTTGACTAAAATAGTTCAGTTGAGTAACCACTGCATACTTGGGAGAATTGCCCAGCAGCTGTCTGGGTGGTAAAGTGGATTGCTACTTTCACTTTTTTTTCTTTTTAAACAAGCATTTACTATCTGAATCATCAAACAGTGGGAAGAATAAATTAGACTTAATGAACTCGTGACCTCATTTCTTCAGTGCTGTTTTCTTTCTTTTTAAAAAATAATTTTAAAATATTATTATATTTTTAATGTGCATTGGTGTTTTGGCTGCATGTATGTATGTATGTATGTATGTATGTATGTATGTCTGTGTGAGGATGTTAGATTCTCCTGGCACCGGAGTTACAGATAGTTGTGAGCTGCTGTGTGGGTGCTGGGAATTGAACCTGGGTCCTCTAGGAAGAGCAGTCAGTGCTCTTAACCGCTGAGCCATCTCTCCAGCCCAGGTGCTGTGTTTTCTTAGGAGATGAACTACTCTGAAGGAAAGTAAACCACTCTGCCCTACTGAGTCACTGGACCATTACACTCTTACAGCTAGGATTGGGCAGAAAAGCTCAGCTGTCCTAGCTCATTTTACAATTAAAGAAACCTGCCTAGGGCTGGAGAGATGGCTCAGCAGTAAAGAGCACTGGCTGTTCTTCCAGAGGGACCGAGGTTTGACTCCCAGCACCCACATGGTGGCTCACAGTTGTCTGTAACTCCAGCTCCAGGGGATCTAATGCCCACTTCTGATCTCCAAATGCATCAGAGATGCATACAGGCAAAACACCCATATACATAAAATAACATTTTTTAAAATTTAAACAACAACAAACCAAGAAGCCATTCTGGATGAGTTGTTTCCTTAATCTCGAAGCTAACCAAATCACAAGCCATACTTGATCAATACGTGGCATATTCAAAAGTTCAGCTAGGCTTGAAGTCTATAGTTTACCGCTGAGAAGTAGCTTGCATGATGGGAAAAATCTGGCTCATTTACTGCAAACTTGCTTATCAGTGATCTGACTTAATACTTGGGTCAAAGAAGTAGACTGAGGAAGACTTACTTCCATATGTCATTGACTTCAGTGGGCGCAAACTCTTTGGATTCCAGTTGAACCATCGCGAAACCGCCGATGGCATACAAGGATCCAGCCAGGCTCACGAGACTGATGGAGCTTCTTTCTTGAGGAAATTCTGTCATCACTTCCCATCTAGGTATTTTATTGAAAATGCAATCAACATAAAATGGACAGACATACACCATTTTGGTGTAATTTTGTTATTTTTAAAGGGTGTCTGTGTGTGAGTGTGTGTATGTGTGTGTGCACGCATGTACACACATCCATAAATAGGTATAAAATTTATTGGAGCCCAATAGGTTTCCTAGTGGCTGTACCCAGCAGGACTGCATAAGAGGTTGATTGAACCATGGGCCTGGGTACCAGGTGACTGTAACTAGCAAGGGGGAGGTCTTTTGCTCAACCCCTTGGTATTGTTATAAATAGACCTTTGGAATAAAGTTCTGGGCCTGTGGCTAAGGATCCAGGCCCACCCGAGTTCATCCTGTGCTTTCTCTCTGTTCTCTCTCCATTCTCTATCTCTTGTTCCTCATTCCTCAAGAGTTCCTGGGGTAAGTAAGTGTGGGGGTTGGTCAGCTACAAAAACTAAAAACACAGAGGGTTTATAGTTTTGTGTGCACGTTTACACTGTTTTTTTTAAATTTTAGACAGGGTTTCACTATATAGCTCTGGCTGGCCCAGAACTCAAGAGATTTGTCTGCCTCCGCCTCCCTAGTACTGCCAATCAAAGGCATGCCCCACAGCGTCCAGCAGAGTTAAGCTTTTTGTACTGGAGCATTTACCCCTATTATGCAGTCTTCAGGAACATCATTTTTAATTATTACTTAAGTTTAGTTCCTTGAAAATTCTTTGTGATTTGCAGATATCAAAATCATTTTGAAATCATATATATTTGGTTTCTCAAAAAGGTAATAACACTGCTCTAATTTTTTCAACACTAATGCAGGAATACAAAACATACATACTCACCCAAGTTGTGTAAGCTCAAAAATTTAGAAAGGCTAGTTTTATATAAAAATATCAGGGCTGGAGAGATGGCTCAGCCGTTAAAGGCTAGGCTCACAACCAAAAAAATATCAGTCAAGTATCTTTTCACATTAATCCAAAAACTTAAAAGTAAAAAAAATTAAGAAATTTATAAAGCACTCATCATTTATGAGTGTTAATTGTTAACAAGTGAAAATATTTTAAATTTTTATTTGACTTTTCGAGGCAGGGTTACTCTGTGTAGCCCTGCTGTCCTGGAATTCACTCTGCAGATCAGGCTGACCTCGAACTCCAGAGATCCACCTGCCTCTGCCTCCTGAGTGCTAGGCTTAAAGGCATGTGCCACCACTGCCCAGCCAAAAATACCTTTTAATTTTTAAACTACATGTTCCCCATCAATTCTCTTAAGACATGTATACCCATCTTTGTTCATGCAGCTTTTCAGAGATAATAATGCCTTTGCTAAATGACTAAGTGTATAAGGTTAGTGCAGCATCAGGCAAAACTGTCAACATTAACTCAGGAGTCATACGTTCCAAATGGCAAATACATGGTGTGGGGAGCTGGAAACACTTCCTCTTTCACCTAAGGCTCTCTGGCTTTCCCTTCCCATGCCGTAGAAGGAGTAATTGCCACCAAACGCAACAACTAAACGTACAAGACTCATACACTGTAGCAAAGCGACTCACTTATTGGTCTTGAGGTCGAACGCTTCAACCGATGCTGAAAGACCATCCTCGGTGACCCCTCCCGCGATTACAATTTTGCCTTTATGGATCGCCACTCCAAACATGGAACGAGGGGTCTTCATCGGAGCCAGATCTTTCCAGTCTCCCTTTTTTGGGTTGTAGATAAACACCCTGTTTGTACACTTTCTGTGAACATAAAAAGACAACAAATGTTCCTTTTAGAATATTCTTTTTGTGAAAGCAACTTTAATAATCTGGTTTTTGTTTCTATGGAATACATAGTACTTCATTTAAAGGATTCTGGGACTGTCTGGGGCACGGGATGTTGTTTAGAGGCACAATACTAATGAAGGATGTGTGAGGCACCAAGTTCAAACCCTGAAAAAAATTTTTTTCCACCGTGTTCAGTCTTGTCTATGTAAGATCCTATATTTACAAACCACTGTGACTGTAGATTATATAAGTAATCATGTAAGGTGATGAATTATGAAAACAGCTTTATATGCTAAATGCCATAAAACATTTAGCACTTGGACTCATCCAAATTATTCTCAGAATTGATCTTAGGGTTTCTTTTGTGGGTTTTTTTTGTTTTTGTTTTTTTGTTTTTTTTTTTTTTTTTTGAGGCAGGGTTTCTCTGTGTGGTCCTGACTGTCCTGGAACTCACTCTGTAGACCAGGCTGGCCTCAAACTAGAGATTCTCCTGCCTCTGCCTCCCAAGTGCTGGCATTAAAGGCATGCACCACCACCTGGCTTGGACCTTAGGGTCTCTTAAAGTTGTTCATAACTGGTCAACAGTTCTGGATTCCCAGTAGTAATCAGTTTGGTAAGGCCAAGAAACAAACAAAAACCCTACTGTGAGAATAATTTTTCTTAATCTGAAAAAATACTAGACATAGCATTTCCTTTAAGACTTGACTATGGCAAGGCTGGACAGATGGCTCAGTGGGTAAGAGCACTGCTGCTCTTCCAGAGGACCCAGGTTCAATTCCCAGCAACCACATGGTGAATCACAATCATCTGTAACTCTAGTTCTAGGGGACGCAATGCCCTTCTGGCCTCCAAAGGCACCAGGCACATACATGGTACACAGACATACATGACACAAAAATACCCCCACACATGAAATAAATATTTTTTAAAAAAAGACTCGACTATGGCAAGGTTTTGTTAAGATCAGAATACAGAATCATATTCACTAGGGCCATTCAGAGCTTCCCCACCCCTGTCCTTGGGATTGGCCTCAAGCCTTCCATGTTCTAAGTGCTATGGAGCCACAACCCCAGCCTCAGCCCCTACTTTTAGCTAATAATTCATTTCAAAGTTCATGACGTTGACATTTGCTAAGCAATGCTGTCTAGGTAATGAGATTCTCAAGATTAATACAGTATTAGTGGCAGACCTGAATGCTTCTTATTGACATTGATTTTCTGATTACTACTATTATCTGAAGGAAATAATTTAAATCATTGTGGCAGAATTCCAATGTTTCTAAAGTCATAACATACTGAATAGAGATTGTTTATTTCTTTACTCAGAGAAAAAGTCCAAATTAAGAGTGTGTTTACTATATATTTCTTATATATAGTCTTAATTATTCACTTGATGGAAATAGCAAAGATTAAGAGATTTAATTTCAGGATATACTATCTGTGAATATGGAAAGATAGAATAAAAAAATCATTGCATGTTAGGTCACATCTGTGTTGTATTTTATCATTTTAATTGGATAAAACTAATTCTAGGATACAGAGTTCTTTACTTGACACAGAAGTTCATATATGACTTTCTTCTTGCTATGCCTATATATCTTTTGTTATTTGTTATTGTTTGTTTGTTTGTTTTGAGATGGGGTCTTGCTCTGTCACCTAGATGGTCTGGAAATCCTGGGCTCGCGTGATTCTCTGGCCTCAGCCTGGGACTACAGGTACATGCCACTGTGCCTCACAGTACCTTACAATTCAGAATTTTGGTTACTTTCCCATGGTTGGACAGCTCTATTAATAATTAGCCTGGACAAATAATAAACCAAATAAGGAAGGGTACATTTTCTAGGATGGGAGATGTCACCCTGTAGGCAAAAGATGATCATTTTACTAGATGGGTTACCGACCTAACTGACCTTGGGAGAGCACTCTCTGAGATATAAGATCGTTTTTTCCTAACTAATGACCATCTGTCTAGAAGCCAAGATAAGTTAATACATAAAATGTAGCCTGGTTTTCTCACAAGGGACTAGACAGAAGTAGTGAGTGGGAGACCTGGGAGGGAGTAAGTCACCAACATGTTGCTGGGGAAATAAACTGCCCTCTTTTTAATTACTGTGCTTTTCAGTTTCAAACTGATATAAATTCTCTCCTATGCACATAAAGTACAAATCCACATTATTTTCTGTTTAGTATTTGGCTAATGGCTAAAGAGTATGTTGAAGCTGGGTGGTGGTGGTGCATGCCTTTAATCCCAGCACTCTGGAGGCAGAGGCAGATGTCCTGTGAGTCTGAGACCAGCCTGGGCTATAGAGTGAGTTCTCGGGCAGCCAGGGCTACACAGAGAAACCCTGGATGAGCACATTGAAAATTTTTAGCCACTGGGGCTGGAGAGATGGCTCAGCAGGTAAAGGCACCTGCCCCTTCAGCCTGATGACCCAAGCGCAGTCCCCAGATCCCTCTTGATGGAAGGAGAACCAGCTCATCAAAGTTGTCCTCTGACCTCCACATGTGTGCTGTGGGAAGTGCACCCCCATATTATATATACACGAACACTAATAATAACAAGATAAAAAAAATTAAATGTTTTCTACTTATAGTTAATTGAATAAGAAAGCCTACTGGTCTTAATGTAGTAAAAATGTGGTTATAAAGTAGCTAAATAAAAGACTGACTGTGCTCTTAGACAGCAGCTAAATAAAAGACTGACTGTGCTCCTAGATGCTGCTAGTCTCCTGTTAGGATGCTCATGGTTAAGGTATTGTGCTCATCTGGCAGTGTGTGACATTCCTACCTATTTGGTCTAGTGACTTGAAAACATCCTTTTTTTTTTCCCCCAAAAACCATTACAATGTCCCCTAATAACTTCAAAACTGTATTTGCAGTTTTTAATCTGCAAAATGTGATGTGAGAGCCAAGTCCCATTTCAGTATGTAGTCTGAAAAAAAAGGACAGAAACTCTTGCAATACTCACTTGGATATAAATCAAAAGGAACCTTTAGGACACTTACTTGTCATCTGTCTTCCCGCCTAGACAGTATATCATCCCATTATGTGAGATCACATTATGGCCATAAACTTTAATAGGAAGATTTTTCACTTCACTCCATTTTGCAGCCCTGAAATTAGATGATAACAGAATTCATGTTCCAGCTTGTGCAAATACGAATTTGTTGTCAGCATGCTTAGGGAACAGGAATGTTATAGGAATATTATGTTAACTTACACAGGATCATAGCATAAGACGGAGTCTAGGGAAGCCTCTGTCTGAAGGTCTTTGCCGGCAACCACATAGATTTTGTCGTCCACCTCTCCCAGACCAAAGAGACACCTGGCTGATGGTAGAGGTGGAAGTCCGACCCACTCAGATGTTATGCTATCAAGCTGCAAAAAAAATGAGTTATGAAGATTGGTAGAAAAATGTTACCAGGTGTAACTAAAAAGCACACAATATTTCATGTATTGTTTAAAATTTACAGAGACGGTCTAAGATCTTGTAAAACTACAATCCTAAAGCATCACATTTTAGCTCAGAATTACTAAAAAGAATGAGAAAATCTACTTGGCCTATGAAAAAATATGCCCCCCCCCCCGAAAAACCCCAAGACATCAAGAAAGGAAAGAGAATAAAATAGAATTGTTAGGTTCGTTAGAACTGTGCAGTTTCTTGTTAATTTTTCTTCTGAAGTTGCCTTGTTCAGTTTTGAAACAAGGAATCTTAATACTTTTGGGACACTGGGAAAGACATGTCTGTGGCAGGGGTCACAGTACATGGATGGCCCCTGGATGCTATATTTAACACTCCCAAAGCCAGCACCCGGGACAGCTGGACTTGTCACTCAGTTCACAGACAACTGAGAGTCTGGACAGTATCACTTTTCTGTCTTTTAAACATGGCTAGGTTCCCTGCGTTTTATTGTTTTTGGATACAGGAAAATACTCATTTCAATACCCTCATTTTGAGTGGAGTCACCTTAAATATCCTGCTTCTGGTTTATGCTAAGAAGTAACCCGGCTTGCAGCCAGCCCTGCGACGGCCCTGTTAGTGCCACACTCTGGTGATTCTAGCCTGGCTGGCTTTACTTTCTAAAATCTGAACGTACCCCTTTTTGCATTTTAGGGCAACACTGTCAAGGGAACTCCTGAGTGGCGTGGCTGCAGCTCCGTGGGCCGCTTCCAGGCAGCAGAAGAGAAAAGGATCAAACTGAGATTCACGCTAACCTAGTGTAGCCAGGAATGGGAAAGACTGGGGTAACGATGGTAGCGACATAGAGGGGCATCTGCGGAAGCCTTTCTGTTTCTGGTCTAGTAGTGCCGGTCAAAGGACGTACTGAGGCCAAATGACATGCCATGCCACGGGTTAATCGCTGTGTGCACAGTGTTGGCTTTGCAGACACTCATTTCAGCATCTAGATTGTGACTATATAATGTTTACACTCTTGAAAAAAAAGAAACAACTTTGGTCAAGAAGGTATCATCGGGCTCGGTGGGGTGGAGATTCCATGTGTAAAACCCGAGGTTCGGTTCCTAGCACGGCCACAGGTGGGGTGGGGAAAGTACTGTGTAAAAGAGTGGAGATCACAACAAACACTGATGGGAGTCTGACTGTGAAGGGTTTTGCACAAAATGCTCCGACAGGAAATCTCATTTGGTCTTCTGGGTTAGGCGCTTCATCATCTGTTTTACAGATGAGAGGAAACTGAGTCACAGAGATTAAATCACCTGCCCAACTTCACATGGCTTTTCAGGTGGTTTTGAATACCACATTGTCTAAAACTATAGTGTTTTGTTGTTTGTTTGAGACTGGGTTATGCAGCTTGGGTACTTTTTTTTTTTAATGGACCAACAGCTACCACAGTACCAAACCCGAGGGCCCAGTTCCCATATAGACTGCAGTACCTACCTTGGTCTCTTAGCGTGGGAACACTTTCTGCAGCAGATAGATGATCAGTAGGTTGCCAGGAAGCCCCTTTAGCGGATGAGTTCTCTAGATATTTAACCCTTCCAGATCCCACTTTCCTCATTGTTAAAAGTAGGGCTTATACCTAGACTATCTCAAAGCTTGGTGCAGTCTACAACTTGATGACTCTATTAATTCCACGGAGGGGGAAACAAATCTTAATAAGGCCCCAAATTCCCATAGTCTGTTTGCAGCATATTCCAAATATCAGTTCACTCTGAACTTAACACACTTCACACATGCAACCAAGCAGAAAACACAAAGCCTGAGATTCTCATACAAAGCTCGTGTTTATGGCTTTAATTCAGGCCTCTTGTTCTAGGTTTGTGCCTTTTAGAAGTGACAAGGGAGTTGTGCCCTTCCAACTCTGTATAACTGTTTTGGTGGCTCATGCTTAGATGGGTAATCTCACTTGGAAACTACAATAAAGGTAAAAGGAAGTAATAGGATGGAGAGAATAAAGGTTACAATGAGTACTTAAAAATAAGGAGAGTGTGGACTCTGGATATATTTTTAAAAGGGGTGTGTGTGTGTGTGTGTGTGTGTGTGTGTGTGTGTGTGTGTGTGTAAACTCTAATAATGAGCTAGGTCCTTAGCCTGATAGTCAATATACTAATATGAAGTGGAATAAAGCCTGCAGGAGTGTTAGAGAATTATTCTATCTGTAACTGTTCCTTGAATCTATGTTTATATATCTGTCTGTCTACTTTGTGCCTACCTGTCCATTTGTGTTTTGATAGTTTTCACTTTCTAGATATATTTACAATTGTTTTCATTGGATTTGCCCTTTCTAAAGTTAATCTGAATTTGAAATTAAGGCTTAGGGAAACTTCTGGGCCACATTCAAATGCTTTTGCTAGAACTGGAACTTAGAAAATGAAGAACCATGATTAGTATATATTATTACTCTATTTTGTTGAGATTAGAAGAGTTGGCAAAAGGTAGTAGTCTGTGAATGTATGGTATGCTGTGTACTTTGAGAGCATGCAGTGACTGTGGTATGATATTCTACACTTGCTTATCTCTGCCCTTTCCAATTTAAGTGCCCCAAAACCCCAGGCTACGATTAGCTATGACCTAAACAAATTCTTACTGAGCTAACCACAAGCTATGAAGTATTGATACTGGCAATATGTTGCACGGTAAGTCACCGAGTGAGTCATAAGCGGCTAGGTACAGCCTATTGGCGAAACAAATTCTCCTCAAATAAACTAGAAAGGTCCGTTAGTTAAGGAAGATTTGCTTTCCTGGAAGTTTTATGGTTACATCAAACAGATGATTAAGTTATAATAATATCTACCTCCAACTCTGATCAAATAAATGTAATATCATAAGCAACACCTTCTAAATACAATTTAAATAGTGATGCTGGTGGAGGTTTTTTCCTCGGGTAACACAAAGTGTACAGAATATGTACAAGAGTCCTTTCTTTTTCATTAAAATCTTTTATACAGTAACAAAAATAAGAAACGAATGCTACTTCCCCAAACCTCCTCTTAGAAGGAAGAAGTAGAAAAACAGACTAATTCCTACTTCCTGGCAGTGTATAAGGCACTTTGGTAAAGGCAAGTAACTGTTTAGGAAAAGATCCTAACCTATTTGAAGAACTAGAATTACTGGCAGCTGTACAGCATTTAGGGTCAAAGCCTGGAGAGAAAATCTCGAGTCGTGAGTTAGATATAAAGATTTCCTTCACTATACCTTTTACTAAATATTAAGTCAAATTGAGTATTTCTGCCAAAACTCTTTTAAGTCTCCAAGTGTAAGAAAGCACTACGTAGGCAGCCCCCCACAAATTCACAACGGGCTAACAGTTTCCTTACCTGGAAGAAGTATGACTGTAAGGGCTGATCTTTGTTTTCTTCATCCACATACAGTCCTCCCACCACGTAGACCTGATTTTGTTGGGTAACAATACTGGAATGATTTCTGGGGATCTGCTCTGCTAGGGCTGTAAGGTAACATTCGTTTTCCGTGGGGTCGTAAGCCACAGCAGCTGTGTCATTGACCAAGAGGATGAGATCTTTAACGAACATGCCATGTCTGGGAATATCATTCAGGTAACCAGGAAGCAAGTCTTCGTCACCAACATCGCCGTTCACCTCGCCTGTCCCTGCCTTCTCCGCATTTTTGCTAGGTTCCGGGAGTTTGCCTGCAAAAGCATCTTTTAGAACTTTGATTTTTTTCTGGACTTCTGGGTTGCTTTTAATTATGTCATCCTTCTCGACATGATCTTTGAAGTATTTTTCTGCCATAAGGCGAAAACGAATACAATCAAACACTTCACTGAGACTTTTCGCCCTGTTTTCTTTGTCTGTCCGCACCCATTTCATCACGGCCTCAAACACTACTTCCTCCTTTTCTACATTGAGACTGTCATTTGAAATGACCGAGATCAGTTCCTGCGGAGACAGCTGCATGAAGTCTTCCTCCTTACAAATCTGCACAAAGCGATCTGACACAAACTCCCGGGCAGAAATGGCGAGTCTCGGGCAGTCGAGAAGAAGCCCCAACCTTAGGATGGCCAGACAGTTGCCGGGAGCCAGTCTTTTCTGAAGGTAAGACACACAGACAGTGAAGACTGAGGGGATCTGGAAGCGGCTGGACAGGGCGAAGATGTCTTGCACATTTCCGTCATTGAGATCGATACTGGCAGAGTACAGATATTTGATGATCAAATCCAGGATAGCAGGATCCACGTTATCTAGCACTACCTCCTTTTTTTTCTCCTCCTCAATTTCAGACAAAAAATACTCACGGAAGTAAGGACTACAAGCAGACAGTATCAGTCTGTGGCAAGGAAGACTTTTGTCACCTGCTTTTAAGGTGCAATCGATGAATTTTTTCTCTTCCAGGAGATCTTTTAGACCATCCTGAAGAAGGGTGGATTGGTAAAGCCGGAGTTCCTCTGCAAGCTCCCGCTGGGAATCCATTCTGTGAGGAACCTGGGTAAGGAAGGGGACACTGAGGGTCTTCGCTCCTTGCTGCACACAGGTCTAGCTGTAAAAAGGCGGATCGGTGTGCTCTGCGCGGTCTGAAGCCTCTGCAATTTAATCCCACCGGCTAAATATAGACTCCAGCTCTAAGGACGGGAATTTAGGAGAGCTGGTTTGGAAAGGAGACTTGTTCAGCTGTCTGAGATTGAAAGTAACAACTGGGACTTCTGGTCACTAAGGAAACTGCTAGGAAACAAGACATTCAGGTGAAGTGGAAAGCTTTGAAATATAGAAAGCCTTGGAATATATGTTAATAAAGGGCATCCACAAGAAAGTGCTTACTGAAATAACAGAAAAATGGATCATAAAAATGAGTCACTCCTCTAAAAATGGCCTAGTGGCAAGCTACTTGGCTGTCTGAATTAATGATGCCAAGGTCAAGAATATGAGGTGAGTTCATTTCAATTCTCATAAGCTATGAGTCCAATGGTTTAAAATGTTAAAATGCAAAATGTTATTTTCTACTCAGAATTTTCTTTTTCAAGGAGGAAACATTAAGATGTTTATGTACTTAATAGTTTTAGATAACCTTTTAAATATACCTCCATCATAACTGAAATAACAAATGCAGAGAAACTTAATTTTCTAAAATATTCTAAATTATCTTTATTTTTAGGTAGGAAAACTGTAATTACTACTGAATTATCAAATTCATTCACACTCTGTCTTGCCATACAAAGGATATGAAGGGACAAACAATAATACAAAAAAGTAAAATAATAATAGTTAAGTCTTTGGGGAAAAAGACCTACGTACCTATGACTACTGGGAATATTTTGTAACTTTAAAGGCTAAAAAGGTCCTTTCATGAAATAAAAAGTTAAAAAATAGAACAGATGCAACCCTCTGAGAAAAATGTCCCCAGAGAGAGTAAAATCAGCCTGTGCTGCTGCATCATCTAATGTGTATGTACATATTTATTATATATTTATATATAATTTAGAAAGCAGGCCTTGTTTAAGAAAACGTGATATCGGAGTCTAGTTTATGGTGCTGATGATAAAGGAGCACCATACGGAATGAAGACGTGATTTCAAGAACTCAGCCAGGCATTGTGGCACACACCTGTAATCCCAGCACCTGCGAGGTGGAGTAGGAAAATGATCAGCTGCACAGTGAACTCAAGGCCAGCCTGGGCTATGTGAGACCCCGTCACCTCTCCCAAGGGTCCCTTCGCTTGTATCTAGATGGTATTGTAGATTTCTTCCATGAAGTCCTTTACTCCACAATCATGATCACACTCTGAACTCAGTAGAGCTACAGAGATGCTAAAGTTCCAAGGGCTGGTGTTCTTAAATGTTCCCCCACAACGTAAGCTCAGTGAAGACCCGACGTTTGTGTTGTAGGTCTGTGTTTTCAGTCTATACAGGCCCCAGGCTTCATGGATGCTCCATGAGTATTTGTTGAAGGAGCAAACACTCCCAAATCAGGGACTTACGTATTTTCAAGATTTACACTGTCTCTCCATAAAGGGCCTTTTCTTTTAGTTTATACCACAGTGAGTTGGTGGTACTGCCAGCTGCTATAATGACAGCTGAGGGGGGAGAGCTCAGTGGTTCTTGTTCCATTTATAGATGTCATTAAAGGTTTGACCACACTGGACAGGGCTAACAGCTGCTCCCCTTGTTTAAACAACAAATGATTCATTTCTCTCCACATGTAACACCTAACATTTGAAAAGATTAGTGAGTCAGATGCAAACACCAGGGTGTGACGTTTGAGGTGATTCCTTGCTTGTGAACCACTTTATAGTCTCGTTTGCTTGAACGGCAGTGAATGATGTTTATGGAAGCATTTTATTGTGATCTCTAAATACTGGTTATTATAACTCCATCCCTTAAGCATGGAGAAATCTTTTTCCATTTACATGAACAAACCCATATGTAGTATTTTTTTCAGCAATTTTTAATGAATCAGGGCAGCACTAGGTTATACTGTATATTTGTCTATGATTGTACATATTATTACATCTTATTTTAAATGTATTTGTGTTCATTCCTTTCTCACTAATGACAAAGGGTGCCTTTGGCTAAGTACAATTATTTGTTGAAAGATTCCATAAATTTTCTTTAGACTGCCACTGTAGCCAAAACAACTGAATGATGTCAATGAGGTCCAAAAAAAACATTATCTGAGAAATCTTCAAAGGAGCCTCAATGAATACAAACAAGGAGAGAGTCAATGAGTGAACAAAACAATTTCCTTATAAAGCAAATGTATTCTTGTCAAAACCATAGTAACACTATTTACAGACTAGCATTCTGTAGCTAAAATTATTAGTTTTTACAAAAATAAGCCCCTAAAAATGATGTGTTTAAGAATTGTAATTTGGGATGCCTCAGGCAGATCTTTGTGAGTTCAAGGCCAGCCTGGTCTACATAGAGTTCTGGGACAGCTAGAGCTGCAGAGTAAGACCCTGTCTCAAAAACAAACAAATAGAACTGTAATTTGTATTAGAGTCTTACATTTAGAGTCCTGTGATAATATATTTAAACAAGACTTGTAGTTAAGAAGTATTTGGTTATTTCTTGAGCTGGGCAGTGGTGGCGCACACCTTTAATCCCAGTGCTCGGGAGGCAGAGGCAGGCAGATCTCTGTGAGTTCAAGGTTAGCTTGGTCTACAAAGTGAGTTCCAGGACAGCCAGGACTGTTACACAGAGAAACCCTGTCTCAAAAAAACTAAAAAATATAAAATAAAATAAAATAAAAAAATAAAAGAAGTATTTGGTTATTTCTTAAGAATGATTTTTTTAAAAATAATACTTTCAAAACATTAAGTGGTGCTGAATAAAATCTTTATTAAATCCAACATGATATAGTCACTTAATATCTGTAAAGTGCTATTTTACAAGTATTAGGTACAATATAAACATTTACAAACCAGGTACATTTCAGTTACAATTTTGAATATAATTTTTAGAAAACTGCCAGTTTTCTAAAATTAAGAAATTTTTCCTTAGTTATTGAAAGCTTTTCTTAAAATATAAAATATAAAAGCTATAATGTAAAAACTATTCCATGCCTAGAGTAGGCAAGTGGTGTCTTAATCTTGAGATATATTTAAATAGAACTCCAGCTCAACTCCGGCTCAACTCATTACTTCCCAAAGTCCCTGGAGTGTGAAGCCATCCTTCAGTTTCTCTATTGCAAGCCCCAGCTCTTCTGAAAACACAGGTTCTCGGTCTTGTTGCTTTGGGGAAGGTAAGAAGATGAGGTGGGAATGGAAGATGGGCAAGGAAGAGGAAAAACAAGAAATGTTTCGCTAAGTTAGTGAGTGCGAGATGCTGCAATATTGAAACTCAAAAAAAACAAAACAACAACAAAAACTATAGGTAAAGTGTCCTTACCTTATTCCCATCAGCAAAATAAGCCTATAAGATAGAGAAAATGATATTTCACATGCTTCATACAAACTAAATCAGGGTCTAAGGAACAGGTAGTTAATTTTCAGAACGATTTGGTAACTAAGTCTAGTTCACATTTGGTTACTGTGCATCTAATAGTTCCTCTACCTACATCGATGCCATCAACACTTATTTCTTATGGTGGTACAGGCCCTTAATCCCCGCACTCGGGGAGGCAGAGGCAGGTTAGAACTGTCTAAGTGTGAAACCAGACTGTGAGACCCTGTCCTTAAAACAAACAACAACAAACATTTTACACTTCTTATGCCAGTATTGATGTCTGAAAGAGTTGTGCTTCACGCTCTAAGCAAACAGGCTTTATAATTGATGTACAGCACTGTTCGCTTGAAAGGAAACAATGTTTTGGGGGCTTTAAGATGACTTCTCTGCTTCTGCTTTAGCAGATGGTGGCAGAGGGGCTGCAGAGATGGCTCAGTGGTTAAGAGCACTAGCTGCTCTTCCAGAGGACCTAGGTTCAACTCCCAGCACCCACATGGCAGCTCACAACTGTCTGTAACTCCAGTTCTAGGGGACCTGACACTCACAGCAAAACATGAATGCACATAAAAATAAACAAAAACCCCAAAACAATTCCCAGCATCCACATGGCACCTTTGTAATCCAGCTCCAAGTGATCTGACACCCTCACACAGACATACATGCAGACAGAACACCAATGCACATAAAAATAAAAAGAAATAAATCACTAAAAACAAACAAACAAACAAAAAAAACAAAACAAAACAAGGTAATCACTTAGAACTGGGCATGGTGGCACATGCCTTTAATCCCACCCAGCACTCTGGAGGCAGAGGCAGGCAGATCTGAGTTCAAGGCCAGCCTGGTCTACAGAGTGAGTTCCAGGACAATCAGGGCTACACAGAGAAACCCTGTCTCAAAAAATAAAAAAAAAACAAAGAAACAACAATAATAAAATCAACCAAACAACCAAACAAAGTGTGGTGGATGAAATCCCAGCACATGAATTTGGAGGCAGGAGGGTCAAGAGTTCAAGACCAGGGGCTGGAGAAATGGCTCAGCAGCGAAGAGCATGTAGTTTAATTCCCAAATCACAGCAGCTGGCTCACGACCACCTCTAACTCCAGCTGTGGTGGATGTGAGGCCTTTGGCCTCCATGGGTACCTGCACTTATGTGCACATATTAATACACAAACAATTCAATGTAAAACAAATTACAACAACAACAACAAAAAACCACAACAAAACAAAAAGAGACAACCAACCAACCAACCCACCCAGAAAGAAACCAAACCAAAGGAGCACTTCAGTGTGTCAGTATACAGTTCGAGGGTGCTTCATGCCAATTTCACATCTTTATTTGAAAAATTTGTTGCTGGAAGGAAGGTATGTGTTATGGTCAGATTCATAAGACTGTAGGATATGGAAACATTAGAAAGCATTACTTCATTTTTTTTTGAGACAGGGTTTCTCACTAAGTGGCCTTGAACTCACAGAGATCCACCTGCCTCCACCTCCTGAGTGCTGGGATTAAAAGCTTGTACTAATACAGCCAGCTCAACATTATTAGTATGTTGGCTAATTAAAAAATGCCTACTTGGAAACAGGCAAGTATATTGCTCAAATACATATCTTTCTAAAATAATGTAAATTAAAGAAAAAAATCATTTCATAAAGATGAATTCTGTAAAGACTTTAAATTATCATAAATCAAATCCTCTAAATAACTGTTTTCAAACTATTTCCTAGGTTGGGAATTTAAAAGTATTCTCACAAAAGAAATTCTCTCACTTTAAAAAATTTCCCTCAAACTCACGTTGTTTCAAGTTTTACAACATTTTACACAGCTACACCATTATTAATTAGACATGACTCACACACATCACAGAAAATCTAGTTCTTTCTGGCACTCACCACAAAAGCATCCGTGTGATCATCAGAGTCTATTTCCACATCATCTGGAACCTGTTCAACCGTCAGAGCTTCAAGGGGTTGTGGCTGAAAATTAAGGTGTCAGAGTCAATATGGAACTAGTTCTTCTAGAAAAATCTACTGTGAGAACTGCAGATACTTGTAAAGGGCAACAGTGAAAGCCACTCAATCACTCTGGAATTCATATTCTATATTAAAACTAACGAGTTGTAAAAGTTAAACGTTAAGGTTTTAAATCAAGTCAACATCATCAAAACAATTAAAACAGAAAGGTGCCAGAGTTTCTCTGTGTAACAGTCCTGGCTGTCCTAGAATCTACTTTGAAGACCAGGCTGGCCTTGAACTCACAGAGATCCTCCTCTGCCTCCTCAGTGCTGGGGTTAAAGGCGTGTGCCACCACCGCCCCACTTTCAATTTTTGAGATATTCTTAAAAGAAAAACCTTATCTCAATTACTTCTCTTTCAGACAGAAAAGGTCTAGTCAGAGAAGGCCACCCTGAAGAACTGAGAAGGCATCTGAGAAGTCAGAGTGGGTGACCATGGCTAGTTACGGTGAGAGCGAGGGTCAAAGGAGAGGAGAGAGGAAACAACAGCTAGAGAGGGCAAGAAGTGGAATGCTACCGACGTCTCCTGTGTGCCCTGCATTATGTACACGCAGGTGTGAGGAGGGTCTGTACATGCAGCTGTGAGGAGGGTCTGCACATGCAGCTGTGAGGAGGGTCTGCACACGCAGCTGTGAGGAGGGTCTGCACATGCAGCTGTGAGGAGGGTGTATGTACATGCAGCTGTGAGAAGGGTCTGCACATGCAGCTGTGAGAAGGGTCTGTACATGCAGCTGTGAGGAGGGTCTGCACATGCAGCTGTGAGGAGGGTGTATGTACATGTAACTGTGAGAAAAGTGAAGCTAGGTGCCTGGGACCGGAAGTCAGGTTCCAGACTTGCTGACTTTACACCATTCCTCACGCAGGAACAACGATCACAATCCGAATGGAAAGGGAGGGATAGGAGAAGGGAAGACTGGGAGAATCAAATCAATATGCAAGATAGTGGAGAAAATGAAGGAAAGCCCCAAGATTTTGAGCACAGCTACCTTTGGCAATACTAGAAATAAGGAACATGCCAAGGCTACTCTCATTTAGCAATGTCCTGTCTGAGGTCTGATACATCTTACTGACTTGGATAATGAAATTATGAGATAACTTATGAAATAAGGAATTCAGTTCTGAGGGGCTGGGGAGACAGCTCAGTGGTTAAGAACCATTGCTGCTCTTTCCGAGGCCTGAGTCTAGTTCTTACTCCAGTCAGCTCACAACCACCGCTAACTCCAGCTCCAGGGGTCCAACGCTCTCTTTTGGGCTCTGAAGGCACCTGCACACACAAGCATATACCCTCACATAAATAATTCATTTGGATTGCCCTGTGTAGATCAGCTACCCTGGAAGTTGCTATGTAAACTATGCTGGCCTCTGACACACAGAGTTTCAGCCTCGGAGTGCTGGGGTTAAAGGTATACACCCTGCATATAATAAAATAATTTTTAAAAATTAAAAGAAATTCAGTATCAGGCCAGCAATCTCTCTTTATGGCTTGTTGCCAAGTCTGATGTCCTGAGTTTGATCCCAGATCCCCAGATCCTTTGTAGGAGAACCAACTCCCAAAAGTTGTCCTCGGACTTCTACACACATAGACATACATGCACATACACAAATAACACAAAACATTCCAATAATTAAAATGGATATTTCTATTATTTGAGATGCTTATCTATGTGACAATATTCAAGAGTATTTAGAACATAAGATAAGTTGACAGTGTTAGGATCAGAAAAACAGATGTATACGGCATCCAGAAACATCTAAGTTAAAGAATCTAGAGGGGCTGGAGGTGGCTCAGCAGGTAAAGACATGTGCTGACAAGCATGATGAGCTGTCCCTGCACCCTCATGGTAGGAGAGAACTGACTCCTGAAAGTTGTCCTCTGACCTCCACACACGTGCCATAGAACACATCCACGAAATAAATAAAAACCAAAGATGACAGCGCTGGAGTAGCCAATGGTATTTATTCCTGAGGAATATGCAGAGAAGGGAGAATAAAAGGTGGAATGCCTCAGTGAAGTCAGAGGACATGAATCCCCACTGCCCAGCCTGCTTCTTGGTTCTCTCTGGCTCCACACCTAGTCCGAGCGCAGAAGCAGATGGAGAGGTACTGGTTAGAGTATGGTTTAGCAGTCTGAATGCCAGCAAGGGCACTGATGAGAGTGGAGGGCTAGACACCGACATTAAGGTGCACACTGGGGCCCCAGCAAGGGGGCAGAGAGCAAGGGAACCTGTGATGGAGTGGTCAGTGATGGGACTGAAACGGGGAGCCAGAGGTAGAGCCTGGGGCAAGGGGACCAGTGTAGACAGGATGCTAGTGACAGATCACATGATGAGGGGCAGATGATCAGACCACAAGAAAGCTGATACGCCTGGAGAGCAGGGATTGGAACCAACCAGAACAGATGAGGGAGACAGGACACTCAAAACATCTGAAAACTAGCTGGGCACAGTTGTGTGTGTCTGAGGTACCAGCAGTCGAGATGCTGAGCCTAAGGTAGGCAGGAGCTCCAAGATCAGCCTGGCCAAAAAACCCTAGCTCAAAACCAAGTCAACGGCCAGACAGCAAACACACAGAAACCCATAACATTTCTCCAACCTAGCATGTCAGAGGCACTGACCAACAGGAATGGAGATGGGCCGCACTGATGGAGCAGATTCTGGATTTGCTGCATGGGGGGACAGTGGGGAACAGGATGGTGTCCATGAGGCCTTTATTGTCCAAGCTAATGCAGCTGTGGGAGGCTAAACCTAAAGCAGATAGAATGACAAACTCAAATCTGTCTGCATCAGAGGAGCCGTGTACACGGACACTTTCCTGAAGAGGCTGCTCACCTAGCTGGGGAAGGGGAATGACCAGAGAAGCAATCAGTCAGAAGACAGTACTAGTCACCAATTAGAGGTGGCCAGTCTGAGGCCATGCTCACTTGACCCAGGTCTACATATATGTTTACAGTTTGTACACAGTGAGTTTATTTTTGGATTTCATAGGTAGTATGAAAGCAATTCAGCAAACTCTATATCGATGATATCGAAAAATTACCTTTTCTTCCATTTCATAATTCACTCCAAATATCGGGCTGGCAGAATAGACTTTGTGAAGTGAGTTGATCTCCTTAACTGATTCCTGTAGTTTTTCCACAGGGTCTATTTTAAAGCCAAGAACATATCCTCCACTCTGTAAGAAAAAATAATGACAACAAAAGCCAAGTCTGAGGGACAATACCTACAGGATGCCATGAAGGCAGGCTAACTGTCCTTGTTCTGGAGGATCCCAGCTAAGCTGCTCTAAAGAATTAAACTCTGTGCCCTGAAAATTCCAAACATAAGAACGGAAGAGTATGGCGGTGAGCCTCCGGGGAGTCAGGGAGGGGCTGCCAGCGGCAGTAACCCATGAGGTCTTCTGACCTCCCTCCCCAACCCTGCCTCCCTCATGCTCCCGGGACATATTCAGGTTGCACATAATTTCATCTTTAAACTCCATCTCATCTTCCTGGATGAAAAATAGGCACAGTGGAGTGTGGTGGCCAAAGGAACTAAGGTCTTTTTTTGTTTGTTTGTTTGGACTAGGTCTTGAGAAGGAATAGACTATCCATTAAAAAATGGTCCATTTGAAGTTATCTCCTTGAAGGGTTTAAAAGCATCTTGACTATGATTGACTGCAGGCTGGTAAAAAGAGTATGTTTTTTAAAGTAGTATACTATAAAAGATAAGAGCATATTTGTGTTAAAAGAACATACTTTTGGGTTCAGTTCTAGATCAACAACTAATATTGGACAATATTCTTTCCTTACTCTAAGCCCCATTTTTTTTTTTTTTTTTTTTTTGGTTTTTCGAGATAGGGTTTCTCTGTGTAGCTTTGGAGCCTGTCCTGGAACTCACTCTGTAGCCCAGGCTGGCCTCGAACTCACAGAGATCCGCCTGGCTCTGCCTCCCGAGTGCTGGGATTAAAGGCGTGCACCACCACTGCCCGGCCTAAGCCCCATTTTTAACAAACCATAAAACTGTTCTCAAGTGGCTGTATTAACAGAATAAAGTATGTCCTGTTGGTACAGTTCCTGGGATGCAGTACTTAGTAAAAGGCAGTAAGAGGCCATGGGAAAGAGAGAGTGGGCATTCATTTTTAAATTTAGGAGTGATTTTGTAACTCCCCCCCTTGTTTAGAAGAAAAAAGCAGGGGCCTTGGGGTACCTCTGACAACTCCCTTAAAAAACTGATTTGGAGCCATGGCTGTACATGCCTGCTATCTCAGCACTCAGGAGGCAGAGGCAAGTGGATCACATGCTCAGGACCAGCCCGGTCTACATAGAGTTCAAGACCATAAGTAAAGTACTTTAAAAGTCTCAAAGGGACTTCTGTAAAAACACAACATAATGGGCACACAGCAGTTTATAATTAGATACTGCTCAGTCTGTGAGAACATAAAGTCTCAGAGTATATGTGCTTCTCTCCATATCCAAAGCAAGTATGAGTCAGATAAACCCGGGATGAAAATACAGTTCCATCCCTACCAGCTTCAAGATTCGGGGGAATGTGCCTAACCCCTCCAGGCCTCAGTATCCTGGACTGTAAGAGGGGAAAACAGCCATTTCATGGAGTTATTAGATTGAGATAAAGTATGAACTATGTTGACCTAGTACAGTGATTTCCCTCACAATTATATTAATATAATGATGATAATGATTTTATCTGTCTAATGAGCAAACTGGCACAGGGTAATACAATGCCCACACCTACAATCCTAGCACTTAGGAGGCTGAGGCAGGAGGCTCCTGAGTTTCTGGTCACAAACACATAGGAAGGATTTTTTCCTATGGAGACAGGTACTATAAGACTTCAAACACTTCATAGATCTTCATGTTATTGCTGATACTTTTGCATGTCAACTGGCTACTATAAAATAACAACAAAAAACCTGGACACATCGTTAAAAATTTATCAGTTTAATAAAAATATAAAATATCTTACCTGTTGAGAGCTTTCTATGACAAGAGCCAAACCAAATTTTGAATCTCTGATCTTTATTGAACGCTATATAAAGTGAAAAAGAAAAAAAAAAAACCACATTTTTATTATCTGATGGTAGTAACTCTTCAATACACATTTTAATTATGTAATGTGCTGTAGCCCTGGCTTTTGAAGAAGAGTCTCATACCTCAGGCAGGCCTGGAACTAACCATGAAGCCCAGGCTGGCCTTGAACTCTGGGAAATCCTCCTGTCTTAGCCTCTTGAGTGTTAGGACTATAGGACATCCGCTTTTGCCGAAGAACTACTCTTCATAGTCTAAACGGCAGAAGTCCCTCTCTACCCTCTTCCCGCAGGAATCAGTAAATGACAAGACTCAGACTGAAGAGAGATGGCAAATGACAAAGCCATACACAGAAGACAAATATCTAGAGCCATCCGATTCAGCTATCCCTGACTCCTGTGATCAATGGGTCTTCTGAAGGTTTTACACAAAAGGCTGATGATTTTCAGTTTTGAGGAGCCAGTATCTTTGGAGCTCCTGAATCAAGATTATGTTACGTGCACCATTCTGTTTTCACACCTTGCCCTGGTTAATTTTTTGTCAAATTGACAAAAGTTAGGGTCATCTGGGAGGAGATCACCCGAACTGGGAAAATGCCCCCACCAGACTGGCCTGCTGGCAAGCCTGTATGGCATTTCTGTAATTCATGATTGGTATGAAAGGGCCCTGTTCACCTGGGTGGTGCTACCTCAGGGCAGATGGTCCCGGGTTCTACAAGCAATCAGGCTGAGCAAGCCATGAGGGTGCTAGCCAGTAAGCATTATCCCCCATGACCTTTGTATCAGCTCCAGGTTCCTGTCTTGTTTGAGTTCCTGCCCTCGCTTCCCCCAGTGATGGACTGTGCTGTAGAATCATAAGTGGAAACAAGCCCTTTCCTCCCAAAGCTGATTTTGGCCAGGGTGTTTATCACAGCAACAGAAACACTCACTTGGAATTTGTGTGAGCCCATGGGGTACTATATGACAGATCTGACCATGTGTTTTTGGGAGGATTGTGATGGCATTTGAACTTCGGGCTAGAAAAGCCAGTAAGTGCTCAAAGCCTAATGAGTTGTTTCCTGGGGAGCAAGTGAAGTGTAGCTGAAATCAACCCATTCAACCCTTTGCTTCCTACGTTGCTTTGGTCATAGTGTTTCATCACAGCAATAGAAAACTCAAACAAACATCGATCTCCACCTATCTAACTAGGTGACACAGGCTGGTCAGACAAGGTGCTCATGCTCGCTCGCGCTCTCTCTCTCTCTCTCTCTCTCTCTCTCTCTCTCTCTCTCTCTCACACACACACACACACACACACACAGAGCTTGGCCCTGTGGAGTAGAGTAATGGCTGAAGCTAGAGCTGAAGTTGGAGTATGACTACCACAGTGACAAGCTGTGATGTATCATATTGCAAGCTGTTTGGGTCAGGCTGAATTCATTCCAGAGGCCACATTTGGCAACTCTATTCTTAAATAACAAAAAAGTATTCTATTTGAAGAACAGAAAGCACAAGGTTGTTTACTACTCAGTAAGTATTCAGCATAACAGGGGTCAGGCTAGGTTAGTCACATAAATGAACACAGAGCAGCAACAAACACTGTGCATGGTGGCATCATACTGTAACCCCAACACTTGGGTGGGTATAGCAGGAGGAGTGCTATGAATTTGAGGCCCAGCCTGGGCTACATGGTGAGTTCATCAGTCAGCACTATAGAGACCCTGCCTCAAAAAAAATCTCAAACTAAACAAAACCAAGCAATAAACAATATACACACATCAATTTATCAAACACCCATGTAGACTATCATATCTTCCCAGCCTTGATGACAAATTATGTCTTGTGGAGTCCTTGCCTAGTTTGTACAAGGCCCTAGGTTTGATCTCCAGTACACAAACAAATGATCATATTTCTTTAGATTTCCTTCCTATCAAACTATGTATGACTATCCATTTAATGTGTTGCTTCCTCGGCCAGAAGGAAGGCTCTGCACCAGCAGGGGCTGTGCGTTGGTTCAGCGTCTTGACTGTTGATCATGGAGCACAAAGTGATACTGTTTTTGTAAGGCTTCAACTGCTGTGATAAAACACCATGACCAAAAGCAACTTTGGGAGGAAAGGGTTGATTTCAGCTTATGTGTCCTAACCACAGTCTATCATGAAGGGAAGTCAGGGCAAGAGCTCAAGGCAGGACTGAAGCAAGGCCAAGGTGGATTGCTGCTTACTGGCTTACTCCTTTTTTTTTTTTTAACTAATGTTTATTTACACGTATGATCATGTATCTGTGTGTATGCCATGCATGTGTCTCTGGAGGGTGTCAGATCCCCTGGTACTGGAGTAACAGGAGGTTGTGAGCTATCTGATATCGGGGCTAGGAATTGAACTGGTGCTGTGGGATGGTCTGTATGGCAAATGTGTTGCTGATTGGTCAATAAATAAATCACTGATTGGTCAGTGGCCAGGCAGGAAGTATAGGCGGGACAAGGAGGAGAATAAAGCTGGGAAGTGGAAGGCTGAGTCAGAGAGACACTGCCAGCCGCCACGATGACAAACAGCATGTGAAGATACCGGTAAGCCACGAGCCACGTGGCAAGGTATAGATTTATAGAAATGGATTAATTTAAGCTGTAAGAACAGTTAGCAAGAAGCCTGCCATGGCCATACAGTTTGTAACCAATATAAGTCTCTGTGTTTACTTGGTCGGGTTTGAGCGGCTGTGGGACAGGCAGGTGAGAGAGATTTGTCCTGACTGTGGGCCAGGCAGGAAAACTCTAGCTACAAATGGCATCCAACGTGGTGGCAAGAGTTTCCATCTAAAACCTGAGAAAAGATTCTAAAACGGAGCTTAAAACAGTTCCTAATTGTCTCTCTCAAATGAGCGGCAGCTGCCGGTTTGAGCTACTGGCGGGTTCCTAGCGTGCACGCTGGACCTGAAGTATGGCGGGAATGAGGCCTCTGCAAGTGGCACATTAAGCTGTGTGGTGGATTTGGCCTTTGCTAGTACAAAACAAAACAAAACAAAAAAAAGAGGTTTTTGGGCTACACGCTGCTTGGATAAAAGCATAGAGACCCATGATAGCTCCCAGAGCTGGCGGTAAAGTAGCCATGTTGGGAAGCTGAGGTGGGCGGAGCCAGCAGCCACAGCTGCTGCAGCTTAAAGCAATAGATTCACAATAAGACAGATTCAGATGTAATAGTTTACAATGTGTGTAAAATATACGTAGGCTTGAAAGAGACAAAAAAGGTGATATATACAGTTATATAAACAAATACATAGTTTTAAAAAATAAAGTCTTTAAAGAGACAGTAAAATTAATATAAAATATAAGCCACGTGAAGATGAATATTACATAGAGAATCTGGATTGTGTTGTCTTTGGGATTTTTTTTGCTTTGTTTTGGTTTTTTTGGTTTTTCGAGACAGGGTTTCTCTGTGTAGCCTAGTGCCTTTCCTGGAACTCACTTGGTAGTCCAGGCTGGCCTCGAACTCACAGAGATCCGCCTGGCTCTGCCTCCCGAGTGCTGGGATTAAAGGCGTGCGCCACCACTGCCCGGCTGTCTTTGGGATTTTTAACTGCAGAAAAACATTTGATCGTAAAAGATGTTGAGTTAAACCAATATGTATATTTTAAAGATAACTTGACTTCAAAATTTGGATGTAAGGATGTGTTGCTTTGGAAAGGAGACTCTGCTTTTGTTCCCACAGAAAGCCAGAGGCTATGGATTTGTTCCAGATTAAGATACATCAGGTTTGACCAGCCAAGACCCCCTGAAAGGTCTCTGATGACACCATGGCCCAGATGATCCAACATCCAGAATGGTTTGAAGGCAACTGGCTCAGACAATACAGCCTCATGGACTACTCCATAATCCTAAAATTTTCTTTGTGTCCCCATAAGATACAGTGCCCCCCTCCAGCAGGAAGTAGTAAGAGAAGCTATGCCCAAATTCCCAAATTATATGTAATTTTACTTTGTTAAGGTTAAAACCTTCCTTTTGGGAAAAAAAAAGGGGGAAGTGCTGTGGGATGTTCTGTATGGCAAATGTGTTGCTGATTGGTCAATAAATAAATCACTGATTGGCCAGTGGCCAGGCAGGAAGTATAGGCGGGACAAGGAGGAGAATAAAGCTGGGAAGTGGAAGGCTGAGTCAGAGAGACACTGCCAGCCGCCACGATGACAAACAGCATGTGAAGATGCCGGTAAGCCATGAGCCATGTGGCAAGGTATAGATTTATAGAAATGGATTAATTTAAGCTGTAAGAACAGTTAGCAAGAAGCCTGCCATGGCCATACAGTTTGTAACCAATATAAGTCTCTGTGTTTACTTGGTCGGGTCTGACGGCTGTGGGACTGGCAGGTGAGAGATTTGTCCTGACTGTGGGCCAGACAGGAAAACTCTAGCTACAAACTGGGGTCCCCTGAAAGTGCAGCAACCACTCTTCACTACTGAGCCACCTCTCCAGCCTCTTGGGGAGCTGTTTCTTTCTTTCAGTGTTGGGGACTGAACCCAGGGTTTTGAACATAGTAGCAAGACACTCTATCAGTGAGTTACATCCCTAGTCCTTCAGTCCTTTTTCTTATCTGTTTTTGAAACATGGTCTTACTATGTCACCTTGGCTGGTCTGGAACTTGCTATGTAGATCATGCTGGCCTTGAACTTACAGAGATCCAAGTGCCTTTACCTCCCAGAGCTTGGAGAAGAGAGAGAGAGAGAGAGAGAGAGAGAGAGAGAGACAGAGACAGAGACAGAGACAGAGACAGACAGAGAGAGACAGAGGGGGGAGAGAGAAAGAGAGAGAAAGAGCCCACCACACCTTGTACATATTTCTCTCTTAATAGCAAGTTGAGTGGCAGAATCCTTGCCTAGCATATGCAAGGGTCTAGTTCAATTCCTAGTTCCACAAAAAAACAAAACAAAACAAAACAAAAAAACCCCAGCAAGTTGATAACTACTATTAGTTTTTTAAAAAAGAGACAGTCTTGCTATGCAGCCAAGGCTGGCTGGACTAGAACTTGCTATGTCTACTAGGCCTGAACTTGTGGAAATCCTCCTGTCTTTGTTGCTCTAGCATTTGATTTAAAAGTATTTACTATGCCTGACTTATAAATACGTTGTCTTTTCTCTGTTAAAATAATAAAATCAACATTTTGAAGGTATGCTTTTATTTACTTATTTTTAAGTGTATTTTAAAAATTATATTTATTTACTTTATTTATTTATTTGGGAGGGACACATATGCATGCCAAAGTGTGTATGAGTATGGAGGTCAGAGAACAACCTTTGGAGTTGGTTGACCTTCCGCCATGTGGGTCATGGGGATCGAACTCAGGTTTGGTGGCCCCAAAAGTATGCTTTTAGTTAGTGGAATATAGAAAGGAAAAAACCCGGAAAGCATATAAACCCAAACATGCAGTGATTAACCGTGTGACTGTTCTAGATTGAAAGGAGGTCACTAAAATTATAGACTTACGATTTGCAGATACGGTATGCTGACATTAAAACTGTCATTCATATTCGCATGCCACACAATTCTCACATTGGTAATAAAAAACGTTCCTAAATTTCCCTGCAGAAGAGAGAGAGAGGGAGGTCAATCCATGATTGCTTGTTTGTATTCCCAATCTGTTTTATGAGACCCAAAATAATTCTGATTATCACAGCGGGAGATTAACACAAGAACTGAGTACTATGGAGTACCGGTGACTCTACTGTTTACAGGCTAGCACAATCAGAGGACTGAACGCCTGGACCCCAGAGTCATTAAGCAATAGGACAGCAGTACAGTTAAAACATTAAAGTTAGCATATTTGTCTGAAGACAAAGTTCTTTTTAAATTTTTAAAAATTTAGTGTGTGTGTGTGTGTGTGTGTGTGTGTGTGTGTGTGTGTGTGTGTGTATACAGGTGCACATGAGTGGAATTCACAGGAGTGAATTTTCTCTGGAGTGAGTTTTCTCTGGCCACCTTATGGGATTTGGGAACCAAACTCAGGCTGTCAAGGCTGCAGGCAAGCATCTCTACCCACTGAACCATTTCACCGACCCACAAAATTCCACCTGGCATATTTGTCAAATGTAGAATGGGGGTTTGAATAAATAACCCATTTTGGGGGCTGTTATTATTATTATTATTATTATTATTATTATTATTATTATTATTATTATTATTATTTTAAAAAAAACCTTAGCTGAGTGGTGGTAGCCCATGCCTTTAATCCTAGCACTCGGGAGGCAGAGGCAGGCAGATCTCTGAGTTCGAGGCCAGCCTGGTCTACAGAGTGATAAGCCAGGGCTCCACAGAGAAACTCTGTCTTGAAAAAAATCAATCAAACAAACAAACAAAACAAAAAAACACAACTCCCCTCCCCAACAAAAAGGCCTTTAATATAGCTCTTGAGACATAGCATTTTTTAAGTATTAGATCTTTGTATACTTATTATTCAAAACTTGAGATATGCCTGAGCAAAGGAGTTATGGTAAGTGAGAATAAAACCACACTATAATCCCTATCAACCTATCAGAGATATCTGACGACTCTTTAATACTGACTACATTAAAACTACAGCCAGCCAAGTGGTAGTGGCGGTGACACACACCTTTAATCCCAGCACTTGAGAGGCAGAGCCAGGCGGATCTCAGTGAGTTCGAGGCCAGCCTGGTCTACAAAGAGAGTTCCAGGATAGGCAAGACTGTTACACAGAAAAACCCTGTCTCAAAAAATCAAGTCAAAACAAACCTATCTCAAAAAAACAAAAACAAAAACAACAACAAAAAACAACCCCCCCCCAAAAAAAACACAAAAGCAAAAACAAAATACCAAAAACTACAGCCAGATATGGTAATTCACCCCATAATCTCAGGACTTGGGATGCTAAGGCAGGAAGACCAGGAGTTTAGGGCCAACCTGGGCTACGCAGTAAGACCTTGTCTCAGAAGACAAAACTTGGGGCTATAGAGATGGCTTAGTGGGTAAGAGCACGAGTTGCTCTTTCAGAGGACCCAGGTTCAATTCCAGAATCCACAAGGCAGCTCACACAACAGTCTTTAACTCCAGTACCAGGTATCCAATAACCTCTATCTTCTGGCCTCTATGGGCACCAGGCACACATGTGGTATAAAGGTATAAACTTAGGCAAGATGCCTATACACATAAGATAAAATAAACAGCACCACCAACAAAAACAATGAAACATTTTAGAAATTACATTTATTTATTTTGAGGCAGGCTCTCATTTTGTAGCTCTGGCTGGCCTGGAACTCACTAGGTAAACAAGGATGGTTTTAAACCCACAGAGAACTGCCTGCATCTGCCTCCTGAATGCTGGAGGCAGGCTGTGGCCACCATGCCACATCCATTTTTAACTATGTCTGTGTGGATATGTACATGTGGGTGATAGCATCCACGGAGACCAGAGGCATTACATCTCCCTGGAGCTAGTGGCTGTGAGTTAGTGGGTTCTGAAGCCCAGTACTCAGCTGAAGAAGTTGAGTTCTAGGGCAGACTGGATTATATAATAAGGCCCTGTCTCAAAGCTAAGCACACATACAGGCTAAAAGGTCTTGGTGGAGCTGGGTGCATGCTTATTAACCCTGCGACCCAGAAAGCAGAACTAGGAAGGTTCTCCACAAATTCTTGGCCAGCCTGCTCTACATGGTGAGTGCCAGGCCAGCCAGGGCTACATAGCAAGACCCCGACTCAGGGGGATACTTCTATCTGTCCTCTCCTCATCAGGGTTCGCCTCTACCAGTGTGGTATGAAGAACAGTGTGTTGTGATGTGTGGGCAAGTGTGGCTCTGTGTTTCTCACCTATGGAAAAAGTGGACTGAACTAGATCATCTCTGAGGCCCACTGCACTTCTTGGGTCTGTACAGAACAGAAGTTGATGTAAAGGGCACAAGGCCATGAAAATTAGAATATAACTTCATATCTAAAGCTGTAATTTATCCAGATCTCTAATGCTAGTTTTAACAATTACACAAACCCAATGATGAGTGGGAAATGCTGTCGAAACAGTCCCAAAAGACTCATTACTTTCCACGATACCTGGTCGCTGGATAAATTCCATACACCATTGATCTTATCATACACATGCTCTTGTGGTAATAACCTCAGTTGCTTGTTTTGAATGACTGCACTTCTCAGTTTAAAATCACGGTACATTTTAGAAGTTTCATATGCTCTATGGAAAAGAATAAAACAAAGACCAATCAATCCAAACAGAAACTGTGTGTCAGGCTATGTTTACTCATCTAGTAGCTACATAGCTGTTAAAGCTTATGGACATCACTCAGTTGTGGTGAACTCAAACACTCCTCAGCGGTTGTGGTAGCACATGCCTATAATCTCATCACCTGGGAGGCTGAGGCAGGAGAACTGCAGACAGTTTGAGGCCATCCTGGACAACATAATGAGTTCTAGGCCAGCCTGGGCTATAGAGTGAGACCACTTCAAAAAACAAAACAAAACCCCAAAGAACAAAAAAAAAATAGTCTTCAGTAAGGATGGGTAATTCTAGTTTTCCGTCATGGTAGCAGAATGCTGACAAATTTACTGTGACATCCATTCCTTCATTCCCACTGCTAGTCAATGTTAGCAGTACTCTTTGACACAGGTCCAATTACTATTTTCACTACAGCCTGAAAACATTATGCTTGCATCTATCCATGTGCAGAAAACTGTGTCAATGCTAAAGGGATCTAGGGCGGAGAGGGAGAGGGAGGGGGAGGAAAAACAAAACCTGATTTTCCTTTCGCTAGGATTCTTTTATGTTGTTAAGCAGTAGGGTTTGCATTCTGTCTATAAATCTTAATTTCCTTTCCTTCATTATCTTCAAGAAATAACCAGTAGGAGAATGGAACTGCTTACTCTATTCATTTAGGAAGGAACATAGTGTTTTTCTGTTTTGTTTTTCATGTTTGTGTATGTATGTGCCTGAGTGTGTGTGCATACACGTGCAGAGGCCAGAAAACAACTTGTGGTAGTCAGTTCTCTCTTGCCATGTCAGTTTTGGGGACAGAACTTGGGTCATCAGGCTTGGCAGGAAGCACCTTTACCTGCTGAGCCATCTTGCAGGCTCAGAACACAATATATAAACATATATATATGTTTTTTGAGACAGGGTTTCTCTGTGTAGCTTTGCGCCTTTCCTGGAACTTGCTTTGGAGACCAGGCTGGCTTCCAACTCACAGAGATCCGCCTGCCTCTGCCTCCTAAGTGCTGGGATTAAAGGTGTGCGCCACCACCACCACCCGGCAGAACACAATATTTTTACATTATTAATAGAAAGCAGCGTCTATGCTCCCTTCATAAAGCATTTCAAGCTTTTCATTTTATTGTATTTTAAATAATTAGATGTTGGCCTTGAACTTGCTATGTGTTCTGGTCTTGATCAAGCACTTCTTAAGTCAAATCAAGATCTACAGTTTAAATGTCTGATCATGAAAGCTGAAACATATATGTGTTGCTATAGTGCTGGGGATAGGACCCAAGACCTTGAGCATGCCAGGCAAGTGCTCAGCCATCAAGCTACACCTCATATATCCTGAGACAAACACTTGTACACAGATGTTCAGAAAAGCATTATTAATAATCTGAATAATTATAAATTATTTAGGGAAAACTTCTGAATGTCTATTTCTACTCTAAAAATCTTTTAAACTCATTACTTGAAATTTTTTACCTTGGTAGCTAATTTAGTAGAATCTTTCCTGTCGTCTTCCATTTCCCAAGATGTGGTGATATGTAGCCCAGGGTGGCCCAGACCCCCTCATCTTCCTGCTTTGCCCTCTGGAGTGGTGGGATTACAAATGGGCACTACGCTTGGCATCTTACACACTTTATTAATTCTTTCAAGGTGCTTGACTTATGATAAGGAAGTGTATTATTCTAAAGGCCTGGGATGTTTGCAACGAAGATACCGTCGTACATCCAAACTTTATCCTTTACACCATTACACCACTACTCGGCATCGTCAACGGTCTGAGAGGTGTGTCTGTACCTGTGTACTGCGATCACAGAAGTGAAAAGTCTGGGGCTCCCAGGAACCAGATTTGTGAAAATAAACTCAAACCGGGTGGTGTTGCATTTTGTTAATATATAAAGAGCTTCAGTTTGGCCTCGTAGTTTCTGTAAGGACAAATTGATTACAGAGTTCAGAGTTGCAGAGCAAGTTCCCATGGAAGGTGGCAGCAAGTCTCAACTTTCAATCTCTAGTGTTCCTCACTGTACATCTACTTCATTAGACTTTTTCAGACTTACGGAGTTTGCAGTTCTTGTTGTAATACTCAATATGCAGTTGTAACCAATAGCTAAAATTAAAAAAAAAAAAAGACAAAGAATGTAAGGAGTATGATATCATAAAGTGAGAAACATAATATTGTAAAAAACAATTAAAAACCTAGAACTTTAAAGTTTTGAAAACTAAACACGAGCAGAAGTACAACTTCTAAGATTTGTATGAAAACAGTACAAATTGAGGTTGGGGATGTAGTTCAGTGGGTAGAATGTTCTCTCAGCAACATGAACCCTGGGCTTGATCCTCAGCACTGGATAAACAGAGTGAGGCGGCCCACACTTGTGAGTCCAGCACTCAGAAGGCGGAGGCAGCAAGATCAGAAGTTCAAGTCATTTTCAGTGACACAGCAGGTAAGAGGTCACCCTGGGATACATGGGACCCCATCTCAAAAAGATAAAGAAAGAATGAAGGATATTATTACAAGAACTTGAGGGTCAGCTGTACTTTGAACAAACAAAAATATTCCTAACATGGGAAAAGAAAATGTCTAAAACCCATATGACACCATTTACCAAACAACAAAAACAAAAAAACCTTATCACTGTTACATCAAAAGAAAGTCTGGCTACCTTTGCCATAAACAATAGAAACTGTATGGCATGTTTTCAAAGACAATCAAAACCAGACAAGGAGCAGGGATAGCTGAGCAGGAAAAGGCACCTGCTGCACCAACCCAGAGACCTCAATTTGATGGCCAGAGCCCACGGAAAAGGTGGAAGGAGAGAACTGACACACAAAGCTGTCCCTTGGCACATGCACAGCCCCACCCCAGACACACAATCGTGCACATACACAATAATAGCAAAAAATGTAAAGAGGCCGGATGGTGGTGGTGCACGCCTTTAATCCCAGCACTCAGGAAGCAGAGGCAAGTGGGTCTCTGTGAGTTCGAGGCCAGCCTGGTTTACAGAGCGAGATCCAGGAGAGCCAGGGCTACATAGAGAAACCCTGTCTTTTTTTTTGTTTTTGTTTTTGTTTTTTTGAGACAGGGTTTCTCTGTGCAGCTTTGTGCCTTTCCTGGAACTTGCTTTGTAGACCAGGCTAGCCTCAAACTCACAGAGATCCACCTGGCTCTGCCTCCCGAGTGTTGGGATTAAAGGTGTGTGCCACCTCCGCCCGGCGAGAAACCCTGTCTTGAAAAAAAAAAAAAAACCAGTAAAGACAAAAACTATCCCCTACAAAAGCACTAATTCCATATACGCCTTACAGCACGGACAGACTGAAACATATGAACAGATCGTTTCTTTTGCATTAGGATATAGTATGTGATCTGTCTTTGATTTCGGAATGTTTTCTTAAACAGTAACTTTATATTTCCACATACTTCATGGTATAAGCTTAAAAGAAAATCGCTCCTGTATTTTTACAGCACTGGGGATTGAACCTAGGGCCTTAAGCACATTAGGCAAGTGCCTACCACTGAGCCTTGTCCACAGCACTTTAGATGTTTTGCTTGTTTGTTTTAAATTCAAAATCCACCATCCAACCTTCCTGAAAAAGGAATTCCCACCCCCCCCCCACCCCCCCTTAGCATCTTATCTAAGAAGAATACTTACAAAGATTGACTCTGGGTAATGCCAAGGAATGCCAGATGATTCTTAAGTTTGTTACTAAGAGTCTACCTGAAGACAAAGTGAGAACACATTAGCTGAAGGCCCTTTTAGAAGCACAAAATGAGGTGGGAATGGAAGCTGTGGCTAATAGCTTGATGGTCTGATGGCCAGCACTTGTGGAAGCTGCATCCCATGATCCATGTGCTCAGAATGAGCATGGTGCTGTATGCCTGTGATCCAAGTGCCTGGGGTGTGCACTCACAAGGACTAGATGATCCAAGTGCCTGGGGTGTGCAGTCACAAGGACTAGATGATCCAAGTGCCTGAGGTGTGCAGTCACAAGGACTAGATGATCCAAGTGCCTGGGGTGTGTAGTCACAAGGACTAGATGATCCAAGTGCCTGGGGTGTGCACTCACAAGGACTAGATGATCCAAGTGCCTGAGGTGTGCAGTCACAAGGACTAGATGATCCAAGTGCCTGGGGTGTGCACTCACAAGGACTAGATGATCCAAGTGCCTGGGGTGTGCAGTCACAAGGACTAGATGATCCAAGTGCCTGGGGTGTGTAGTCACAAGGAATAGATGTTCAGACATGATACCAAGTTTGAGGCCAGTCTGGTTTAGATGATTAAAAAGGAAAAAGGAACGAGTATGGGCTGGACAAGGCAGCCCCTGCAGTCATGACCTGCCTGCTATGATGAACTCTATCCTGGAAGTGAGACACAAACTAAACACTTCCCTCCTTAAGTTCCTTTTGTCAGGTACGTTGTCACAGACGTGAGAAAAGTCACTGAAACCTAAGTGCCATGAGTGTCTCTTAGCAGTTCTCATTTTGTGTGCCTGTGTGTATGTGTTTGTGGATGCACAAAGTGCAGAAAACATGGGAGAGCATCAGCTGGCCTCCTCTACCACCTTATTTCTTCGAGGCAGCAAGCCCCAGGGATCCTCCTGTCCCAGCCTGCCTCAGTGCTGGTGTTCAAGGTGTGCACAGCACCACTCTAGTCCTTCTAAGTGCAGAGGGGGCACTCCTAAGTGCTGAGCCATCTCTCCAGTCCGACAGCTCTCACTTACACGAACCATGTGCTTAGAGGGCTAATTCTGTTAGCGGCACAGGTATGAGAGGTTGACTGTGGTCAAAGCAGAAGTTCCTCAATGCTAGACCAAGAGGTCCAGAGGCAATCCTACCAGTAATAAAACTGAGTTGGAGTTTAGGCTTAAATTTGGGGCAGGCGAAACAATTTTAAGAAGAGCACTGTGGTGGTGAACGCCTTTAATTAATCCAGCACTGGGAGGGTAGAGGCTGAGGCCGAGGCAAGGCAGGTGGACCTTTATGAGTTCCAGGCTACCAGCCATGAATACATAGTGAGAGCCTGTCTCAAAAGGAGAGAGAAGGCCTGGCATGGTGCTGCATGCCTTTAATCCCAGCACTTGGGAAGCAGGTAGATCTCTGAGTTTGAGGTTAGCTTCGTCTACAATAAGAGTTCCAAGGCAGCCAGGACTATAGAGAGAGACCTTTCTCAAAAATAAAAAACATAAACAAAAGCAAAGCAAAGAGAGGATATGGTGGTTTGAAGAGGTATGGCCCCCATAGACTCATGTGTTTGAATGGTTGACCTACAGAGAGTGGCATTATTAGGAGGTGTGGCCTTATTGGAGGAAGTGTGTCACTGTGGAGGTGGGCTTTGAGGTCTCCTATGCTCAAGCTATGCTCAGTGTGGGACACAGTTCACTTCCTGTTGCCTGTGGATCAAGATGTAGAACTCTCAGTTCCTTCTCCAGCACCACGTCTGCCTGCACACTGCCATGTTTCCTGCCATGATGATGATAATGGACTAAACCTCTGACACTGTCAGCCAGATGCATTTAAATGTTTTCCTTCTAAGAGTTGCCGTGGTTACTGGTGGACCAAGACTGACTCTGATGAAGCAAGGCTTTGCTGATATACTCCTCCTAGACAAACAGGTGGAGAGAGCAGCCCTTGTCGGAGAAACCACAGGGCTGACTGTACTATCCAAAAATTTCCAGCACTCTCTTTGCTACTTTTTTTAAATTAATTTAAACATCTATTGAAGAGAAGTGGGTATGCTTACTCAACGCTGTAAAATATAAAGAAAAAAAAAAGAGAGAGAGAGAGAGTTGTCATGGTCATGGTGTTTCTTCACAGCAATAGAAACCCTAACTAAGACAGAGGACATGATGTAGTTTGGTTCCTCATTTACTTATGTAATATTAGAAAAGCCGAGCAGCCTCTCAGTTACCACCTATGGAAAAACAGGAAGGGTGTCTGCTTTGAATTAATGCTACTAAGTGAAATTACATATACAAATATAAAAAATAGCAGTTGGCAAATAATAGACATTAAAAAGCTGTTAAGAGAGTGTGAGGGAACTTGGGAGGGTTGGAGGGAGGACAGGAAATGATGAAATTATATTTTAATTAAAATATGTTAATAAAATGTTAATAGTGGTTCTATTTTTTTTCCTTTTTTCTTTGAAAGGGGGAACAATGATGATTGAATCCGGGACCTGAGACTCGACAGGCAAGAGCTCTACCAGAGAGCTCCAGCTCCAGCCCTCCTCCCCTCCTCCCCTCCTTCTTTCCTCTCTGCCTACCCTGCTCTTTCAGATCCACGAGCTTTATCATACTAGGATCCATAAAGCCACCCTTGTTTAGACAATGTCACTTTACCACACAGGCTGTTCTCAAATTCACAGTTTCCACTGACGCTCCTGCCTCGGCTACCCAAGTGGCTGGGACTAGAGGTGTGTACTTCCAAGCCTGGCTTAATATTTTAATGCTTTACAAACTAATTTTTAGGACTTAAACATTATAGGGCACTGATTTCCTTGAATCATTTCACTTAAGTAACAGTCTGTCTTTTATACTTTTCTATTAACATATCCAGAAAAAAAAAAGTTATGGAGTGCTGACAGTTTGCCTTACAAAACTCCCAGCCAATTCTCTTCATCATTTTTCTGCTCACTGTTTATCTCCTACAAGTTACAGGAGTCTTGTGAGGCCTCCTCTCTCCTGAAGGAGCCCTCCCTGGAGCTCCATGTCCATTCTTCCAGGCCTGGACTTCTTTCTCTGTCCTCATTTCTTCTAATCTCCCCAATATGAAATCTCTGTGCCCCATGTCACTCTCCACGGCTCCAGTGCACAACGCTAATCTGATCATTTCATGACAGAGTACTTAGAAGTGGATTAAATGTGCTAGTCTTCTGAGATACTCACAGCTTTAAAACAGGGGTCCTGAATAGCATAGCCTTAAGTTGGTCACTTGGAAACTGTCCGAAAGGAGCAGATGTAGAGGGTTGGAAGGCAGAACTCCCCATCCCCTCTCTACCTCCATATAAACCACACACTCTGCACATCCCTGTAAACCTTCATTTAAACAAAGCTTCCTGAGTTCTAATAGGATTCTGGTACTGTGAGGGGATTATCTGTAGCCAGGCTTCCCTACTCCCTTGTTTTGAGCCAAAGAAAAACCCTGGATGACTTCAAACTTGTAATCTTCCTATGACGATTTCCTGAGTGATGGGGTTACAAGCATGTACTGAGGATTAAACCCAGGGCTTCGAGCACACTAGGAAAGTATTCTACCAACGAGCTACATTCCCCAACCCCAGAAAACCTCTCTGCCCTCTGGCGTAGTTTGATTCCTGTTGGCTGTGATGAAACACTCTAACCAAAAGCAACCTGGAAGAAAAGGGATTATTTGGTTTATACTTCCCTCAATGATACTTATACAAGCCATCATTGAGGGAAGTCAGGGAAGGAACCTGGAGTAGAAACCACGGAGAAACACTGTCTACTGGCTTCCTAATTCACAGGCTCACAGTTAGCTTAGCTTTCCTATATGGCCCAGGACCACTTGCCTAGGGATGGTGCTGCCCTCCTACATCAATTAATAGACAAACCCCCAAGACACGCCCACAGGCATCTGATCTAGGCAATTCCTCAGTTGAGGTTTCTCCCTTCAGATAACTCTAGGCTGTGCCAAGCTGACAATTAAAGCTAACTAGGACACTCTCTATACACCAAAGTACTGATACAGGATCCTACACTCAATGAATACTTGATGAATCAAAAAAAAATGTTTTATTATCCACGGCCTCTATTTATTATGGAGGATGGACTGTCACAAAAGCCTTCTTGTCAAGCAGTATAGGAACAACCAAAGTTTCTCTTGACTCCCTCAAAGTAACTCACTTTTCACTAAGATTTAGCCATTATGACAGCAAAATTATTATTCTGTCTCACAAAGCACAAACCAAGACTCTCTGTTTGCTCTTAGGTGTTCAGATTTCACCCTCCCCGTGGTCCAACTGACACCAGGATCATTGAGAAATGTAAGCATGCCTTTAAGGACAGGCCCTAGAACTGGCAGGATGTGCTTGCAGCTAGTGGTAATGACAGCTTCCTCACAAAAAAAAAGGGGGGAGGTGGGGGGCTTAGTAGGACAATTCAGAACGAAGTCCTGGAGAGCTCGTAGCCACCCAAAAGCTGCATTAAGCCTGTTCTGCAGTAAGGTTACCGTCCCTTCCCCAGGACACACAGATCCCTTTATCTGAATGAGGTGGGTTCCTCCCCCGTGATTCTTCCTTAAGTTCTCCTCCAGAAACCCTGTAAGGTGCCTCCCCACCCTGCCCTCTGAGGAATACTAATGAGCTTCAGGCCCTGGTGACTGCACACTGACTGCTGGCTCCAGGGACCGCTGCTTAAAGTTTTTAGCTTCAGGCAATTTGATTTGAGAAGGAAGTTAGAGTCCAGCTGTTTCTCAGTGGCAGTTTAAAAAAAACAAAACAAAAACAATCCCACAGGGTTTTCTGCTACTTGACTGACAAATAGACATCTCAATGTAGCACTAAATTTTCTCCTTGCACACGTCCACCTCTAGGGGTCATTCTGAGGGGACCATGCAGTACTTCAGGATTAAGGTGAAGTGTGACCACAGATACCACAACCATGAATATTCTGTATTCTTTTAGCAGGAGGAAGATCCAAGGGTAGGAACTATTCTATGATGCTTACAAACAGGGCTCCTGGAGTTTTAACCATTACACTAGAAAGTCTCAGGCCTTGAATCAAGACTCACTACCGATGGGCTAAAGCTGAGAGAGAACCTGTGTTTCCTATCTGTAGGGTTAGTACCTACCAGTTCTTCTATTTGAGACAATCTGTGGACTTAACTTTGTTCTTCTCACAATTACATTTACATGTGATGCTTTTTCTCCAGCTAGTGTGAATCAACATTTAAAAATTACACCACAGATACAAAACTCAAGTCTACTCACCTCTATCCCCATTATTTCCTTTTGTATCTTCAATTGAATCTAGACAATCAATAAGGATTTCTCCAGGTCTTGTTTTCATTTGTCTAAAATAAACACAGAACTGTGAGGGTTAGAACCTCACCTCTATATGCTGCCAATCTTCCAGACAAGGCTGACCGGTCAGCGAGCCCCAAGTTGACCAGGGCCACTTGGGAGTCAGCGAGATCCAGAAGTGGAGTCTTGGATAATAAAAGGAAAAGAGCAGAGACTGCATGACTGAAAAACAGGAACAATAAAGGTAACAGAGGTGGCCGGGACAAAAGGAGACTGAGGAGTAAGAGAAGAATAGTTGGGTGACTGAGGAGAAACACCTATCGAAGAATCTGGAACTCCACCATGACAGGCCTTATTCTGTGGGCAACAGACAACCCCCAAGAGGTTTCCGAGTAGAGGAAGGCCAGCAGGCAGTTATGAAAGGGATGATTTTTTTTTTAAAAAGAGTTGTATGAGAAGTATCCTTAGGGGGCTATAGTGACATGGCTCAGCAAGTGAAGGTAGCTGCCACCAAGACTGATGACCTCAGTTTGATCCCTGGGACCCTAACAAAGTTGAGATATGACTTCTGCATGTTAACTTCTGACCTAGCCTCCTGCATCGTGCACACAGAAAGCACTCTTACTGAGCTGTCTCCCCAGGCCCTTTTGCTCACTTGTGTTTACACAGCCGCTGGTGTGTAAATTTCCTGCACTAGAATGAGGAAGGGTGTATGATTAGCATTCCCTCTTATTTCTTGTCTCTATCAGCAAAGTGTGTGTGATAACTGTCTGCTACACTCAAAATGTTCATGAAAACTGGAGTTTTGTTTGGATTAAGATATCCCGCCCCCCCCCCCCCCAGAACTATAGAAAAGCCATAAAAGGTGTGTAATGAGTTACGGTAGTTGGTAATTTTACAAATACCCCTTCCTTTGACTTCATAAAGGAACTAATACCGTGTTAGGCATCCAATTACCACAAAAACTGAGAAATGTACCAATGTTTCATTTTTCCATTTAAGGAGGTGCTGTTCACGATAAAGCACTATTAGGAAGTTGCTGGGGAGCCCCGTATTTATTAATCCAAGAACTTCAACTTTGATGTTTTTCCAACACTCTCTCAGCGCCCCCGACCCTCGAGGTCTGGGCAGGAAGGTTTTTAACCCTCTTCTCTTTAAAGTACATACTCCCCACAAACAGGGCTTCTGTTTGATAAGCTCGGAAAGCTTTAGATTCAAGCTTAGCCCCGACACAGGGCTTGCGTGGTCGGGAGTTTTGGAGACCTCTCCCTCCCAGCGCCCTCATTTTACAGTCACGCTAAGCGTTCAGAGGCAATGCTATGCCGGATTTTGTTCTAGAACCCTGCTCTCCGGAATCCCTGCCCTACGTCCCCTCCAGCGCTGGGCGCGGAGGGTCGCAGCCTGGATGGGCTCCCACTCCGGCTAGCCGCCGGCCAGGGCAAGGCCGGGGACCGCCATCGCGGGGGTCCCAGCGCGTGCAGAGACTCACTGCGAGGACACGTCGAAGCGCACGTCGCGGTCTTCCCACAACACGTCCAGCACAGACATGGCGCCTGAGGCGGCCCGCCGACGCGGTCCACTGTGGCTGTCCTGCGGCGTCTTGCGGGCTCCAAGGCAACGCGCCCGCCTCGTCACGCTCTCTACGGCGGGCGCCGAGGCCCAAGCTTCCACCTGGTAGTACACGCTCTTTCCCCGGCCCTTTTGCGTCACTGGATCGGTTTGAGGCGGGAGTCTGGGAGGGTCCTTGACTTCTGAGCCACCACCTCTCTGGTCTCCGTGCACATTTTTGGCCATTTCAGCCTTCCTGCTGTTTTTTTCTACACCATCCAGAAATCTCAACTTCACCAAATTACGTTCCTGGTGTGGTGAGGCTCTCGCCCTGCCCACCTCGCAGACCCTGGGGGTTCTGACTCTGCATTCCAGCCCTAGGCTCAGAACCTGCTGAGGTCCTACTCTGGTCTGGACCACGGCTTCCCCAGATGTGTGCACCGCCAGCCCTTATTTCACAAGCCAACTCTGGGGTCCGTCTATTGTGAGCCAACAAGAGACGCGCGCTTTAAACAATGCGCGGTCCAGAGTGAGCACGGGATAAACACTTTTGTCTTTTGTTTTTGTTTTTGTTTTTGTTTTTGTTTTTGAGGCAGGGTATCACTTTGTGGCCCAGGCTGGCCTGGAAATCGAACAGCTTCGGCTTCCCCAATGCTGGGATTACAAACATGCATCTTGCCCGGTTTATAAATACTTAAAAAAAAAAAAAAAAGGCAGGGGGACTCAAGAGATGGCTAAGAGCACTCTTAACCTGCTCTTCCAGAGGACTTGGCTTCAAGTCCCAGCACCCATATGGCAGCTCACAGCGCGTGACAGTTACAAATAAACAAATATTAAATAAATTGCTGCTTCACAAAGAGTGGTCTGGGGTTTCCTGGGCATACTCAAGATCTTTTCATGGTCATATATATATTTAAACAATGTGAAAACATTTGCCTTTTAAACACTAATTTTGTCATGGATGCGCATTATGTATAATTGCGTATCGAAGCAGAGAGAAGACTCTAGCTGCTGTTTTGTTTTTCTCCCAGAGTTTCACATTGTGTGCCAAATTGATTGACCTGAAACTTACTATGGAGACCAGAGTGGCTTTGAACTCAGGTCAGCCCTCCCACCTTAACTCCAGAATGCCGGAATTCCAGATGTGAGCCATTCTACCCAGCTGTTTGTTTAGGATATATTATGTCATTCAATTTTAGTCTATGTGCTGCTGAAGCGAGCACTATTGGGTCGTTCAAACCATGTCAGCATTGTTAATCGTTCTGCCTCAGCCTCCTGAGTACTGCTTACAGCGGGTACCACTGCGCTCACCTTTTCAAAGGTAAGAGAGAGAGCGAGGGTCGTGCATTGTAGTTCAGGCAGTCCCTGTGGTCCCTGTGTCTCTGCCTTCAAGTCCTGGAGTGACAGCCGTGTTCCACCGTGCTGGCTGCAGCTGCCCATTACTAAGCTAGACGTGAAAAAGTTTTGTTAGAGGATCTGGTCACATGGCTCAGTGGTTAAGAGCATTAACTGCTCTCCCAGAGACACTGAGTTTGGTTTTCAGCACCCACATACAAGAATGTAGATCAGTGTCGTTCTCATAAATATTTTAGAGAATATAATTATTTAAGAAGTTATGTGGCCAGGTGGTGGTGATAGATATCTTTAATCCCAGCACTCGGGAGGCAGAGGCAGGTGAATCTCTGTGAGTTCAAAGCCAGCCTGAGCTACAGAGTAAGATCCAGGACAGCCAGCACTACAGAGAAACCCTGTCTTGAAAAACCAAAAAAAAAAGATAAGTTATGTATGTTGCTGGGAGTTGTGGCACACACCATTAATATCAGCATTTGGGAGGCAGAGACAGGCAGATCTTTGTGAGTTCGAAGCTAACTGGTCTACATAGTGAGTTCTAGGCCAGGCAGGGTTACCTAGTAAAATTCTATCTCAAAAATATATTTTTTTTGCTCTGTTCAATAATGTGAGTCTTCGTTCTGTTCAATAATGTGAGTCAATATTGATTGAAATATATATATTGAAGTATAAGTGGTACATAAAAAATTGAACATAATGTATACAATTTGGTGAGTTGGAACATATGTACACACATGTTATTCATCACCACCATCAAGATAATAAACAAATCCATTATCTCCAAATGTTTCTTTGTTTCTCTTTGTGGGTTTTGTCTGTTTGATGGAAAGGACACTGAGTATGAGCTATACCCTCAACAAGAGCAAACTTTGGTCTTGCTGGCATTAAGCCCAGGGCTTTATACATGCTAGGTCAGCATTCTACCCTTGTGCTATACTCCTGGTCCACGCCTTCAACGAAGTCTGAGGTGCACAATACCCTATTGGTGGTGCATTGCACAGCGGCTCTCTGGAACACATTTAAACTATAGAAGTCTTTGATGTGTGTCTTAGCTACGATATATTCATTAACCTCTATGTGAAAACAACTAATAAATATACATTGCAGATACCTGGATAATGCCTTAGTGCAAATTGTTTTAAAATATAGAAAGCTAGATTATAGCGCAGTGGTAGAGCATTTGTATAGCATCACACAAGTGTGCTCATATACATAGTGGTATCCATTTAAAATCTTCAAACTTATGCAAAAATGAAATGAAACATTATAGTTTATAGCCAGACGGTGGTGGCACATGCCTTTAATCCCAGCATTCGGGAGGCAGAGGCAGGTGGATCTCTGTGAGTTCTAGGCCAGCCTGGTCTACGGAGCAAGATCCAGGACAGGCACCAAAACTACATAGAGAACCCCTGTCTCGAAAAACAAAACAAAACAAAACAAACAAAAAAACCCATTATAGTTTATATGTAAAAGTTCTGTGGGGTGTGTTCCTACATATCATGGGGGCAAGATTAAGGAATAGTGTTGTTTGTTTGTTTGTTTGTTTACTTGAAACTCACCGCCCTGAATTCCTGGGATGAAAAGTGAGTACCACCAAACTTAGCAAATAATGTCTTTTAATTTCACTAAAAAAGGAATGTGCTGGAGTTGGAGAGATGGCTCAGCAGGTAAGAGCTCTGGCTGCTCTTCTAGAGGACCTGAATTCCCAGCACCCACATGGTGCCTCACAACCATTTGTAACTCCACTTCTAGGGGATCTGAAACCCTCTTCTAGTCTCCAGGAGCACCCGAAACACATGTGGTACACGGGCACACATCCAGGCAAAACACTCATACACAATAATATAATAATAATAAGAAGAAGAATTTAAAAGTAAAAGGAATGGACTGCTGAACAAAACAGAAAAATTCTCAGCCTCTGACTAAAGTTATCAGCAATTGCTTCTGTTATCCGTTGTTAAGAGGAGGGTAAGATCGAGTCTGTGAACATGCTCCTGCCTGGGTGAACTGAACCAGTCTAGTCTAAGGGTGGGTGATGGCTAGAGGTAGGTCCTGGGTTTGCTGGGGACAATGAAGGATAAGGTAGAGAACTGAGGAAGGCTCTCGACTCCTCTAGAGGCCTACGTCCGGTAGTGGCTGTGACAGCTGTGCTGTGCACTGATTGTGAGCGGAATCAAACCTCTTCTCTATGGCAGAAACTCTGATGACTTCCAATTTGATCCAAATAGAAGCAAACCGATGAGTCTAATTCTATTTCCCATACTTCAAGTCTCTTCCGTAGCTTGCTTGTTTGCTTGCTTTTTATTTATTTATGAACCATATTCTTGCTTTGTGAGGTTGTCACAGAACTCACTAGGTAGCCAAATTCCTTATCTGGCCGAGGCTCCCAAACTTTGGGATTACCTGTGTGTACATCACACCTAGCTTCTGTTTTGGCATTCATTCATTCATTTTGAGATGGGTCTCTTTGTGCAGCCTTGGCTGCCCTGGAGCTTACTATGAGCCCAGGCTGGCCTGGAATTCATAGAGATCTACCTGCCTCTGCCCTCCAAGTGCTGAGATTAAAGCTGTGTGTCATTTCCTTTGCCTTCAAAAGGCGGACTTCCCTGTGTTTATCTTTTCTCTTGCCACTGTCAAGGGAAATTCTAGCCTTCCATCTCCCTCTTCATCAGCAGCCATACCCTAAACCCACCACTCACAGCACATGCCCCATGCTCTTCTTTTTGCTCTTCTTTTTCTGGATGCATTGTCTGTCATCTAAACCTATCAAATTGTCAAGTTATATTCCTAAATTCATACGTATAATGTTATGCCAACCGCCATTTAGAAAATGGGGGCCGGGCGGTGGTGGCACATGCCTTTAATCCCAGCACTCGGGAGGCAGAGCCAGGCGGATCTCTGTGAGTTCGAGGCCAGCCTGGGCTACAAAGCGAGTTCCAGGAAAGGCGCAAAGCTACACAGAGAAACCCTGTCTCGAAAAACCAAAAAAAGAAAAAAAAAAAAAAGAAAGAAAGGAAATGGGCAGGCCATTCTATGTTGACATTCACTGACAAACTGATAGGCATTTCTGGGGCAGCGACCTGCCTGAAACTTAGAACAGTCATTTATTGTGGTACCATTGTGTTATGTAGGGAGTGGCCTTAGGCTAAATCAATCTTCATTACTACTCTTTTTTTTTTTTTTTTTTGGTTTTTCGAGACAGGGTTTCTCTGTGTAGCTTTGCGCCTCTCCTGGAACTCACTTGGTAGCCCAGGCTGGCCTCGAACTCACGGAGATCCGCCTGGCTCTGCCTCCCAAGTGCTGGGATTAAAGGCGTGCGCCACCACCGCCCGGCTTCATTACTACTCTTGTGTATTTTCTGTCTAAAGAAAAAGGACAAGGAAAACGCCTGTAATTATTCATGTTCCACTCTTAATCATTTTTTTTTATGGAACATTTTACATTCACATTTCAAGAAGAGATGCACTACTATGGTGCCCAGTTATTTTGATAGCTTTCCACTCATAGTGCATAGCAACAGACTTCGAAGGGTATTATTTTGTCTTACGACATGATTTGTGTACTCAGATTGAGTCTTAGTGCTCAGTGGGCTGATAAAAGCGCAGCACTCGATGTAACCATGGTGACTAGAATGAGTTTGATTGCCATTATGTTTTCACGCAAATCCAAGACGCAGAAACAAGCTGATGATGCTAGAGCTATTTCCAGCACATTAACCAGGCTAAGTTTTATAATTAAGGAGGCTGCAGAAAGAAGAGGAAGTTGTTGTTTTCTTTAAAAATGGTTATCTACTGATGATAACTCAGCCGGTAAGGCTACACAATCCATTTTTATAAATGGCGATAACATCTGTGACAGTGGAAATCCGAACACTGTGGGAAATTGCTGTCTAGAAGTGTTTCAAGGTTACTCGTGCTGTGCAGAGGGGAGAGAAAACAAAGGTAAGGTGAGCCT